AGAATGTGATGGTTTCAGGGTTTCTGGAACTGGTTCTCTAATCTTATTAAAGATGTTAATGATTCCAGTAGTAGGGTGAGCATGGAGTGCATAGCATTATCTGGCAATAGAAATAAACAAAATAGGGTCCAGGTGAGGTGGCTCACGCCTATAATCCCAGCACTTTGGGAGGCCGAGGCGGGTGGATCATGAGGTTAAGAGATCGAGACCATCCTGGTCAACAAGGTGAAACCCCGTCTCTACTAAAAATACAAAAATTAGCTGGGCATGGTGGTGCGCACCTGTAGTCCCAGCTACTCGGAAGGCTGAGGCAGGAGAATTGCTTGAACCCAGAAGGCGGAGGTTGCGGTGAGCTGAGATTGTGCCATTGCACTCCAGTCTGGGTAACAACAGCAAAATTCCGTCTCAAAAAAAAAAAAAAATACAAAAAAGAAATAAACAAAATATTTGCATTAAGTACTCCTAACCAACCAGTTATAAAAGGCAAGAAGCTGGCTATGTATATAATTTTTTTTTTTTTTGGAAAATTGTTGATGGGTGTTATGAAACCTTTGTTCTTGTCTTTTTAGTCTAAATTAACTTAAACAAGAGACACACAGCAAAGAAGATGCAGCATAAAGCAACTCATTGCAAAGGAGAAAGAATATTTTGAAAGTTAAGGGTACAAAAGGTAGTACACGCTTAGAGAGAGGATTTAGAGGAGGCTGATGATAAGGATGAGACAGCAAAGACTGGCACTAGGGAGATTCCCTTTCTTGGGGGGGGGGTCTTACATGATTATTCGTAAGGGGGTGGGAAGAGGTGTTACTAGTAAGCATGTTCTGGGTGGTCCTCTGGAGGCACAAGAGCCGTAGCTGTACATCCTTGTTCATATATCGCATGTCTCATTAGCATCTTAAGTCTCCACCCAGGGGTGGGTTTTTTACTATTATAATGAGCAAAGGGTCAGTTTGAGGACAGGTGAAATCAAAATGTGCATGCTGTCTACAGGGAAATTCCCTACTGAAGATAGCTTTGCTTGAATTAGCTTGGCTAAATGTGAATGTTGGGGCTTATTTTGTTGAGGTATGTGGTGTAGTAAGCCACAGTTGCTGCATACCAAGGACATGTTTACTTCCTTGACTACCTATCCTGCCTCGTAATGAGTATAATGAGGACAGTTGGTTGTTTCTAATGTCACTGGATAAAGTGGTACAAAAAAGGTGAGTTTAGGGATTTTGATTCCCAGCTCAAGTGCTCCATAAATAATCTGAAAACTTCTCTGTGCACCCTGAAGACCCTATCACCTGTGGCAGCAGAGCTGAGACTATTGACAATCAAACACAGAATCTCATCCTGTGACTGGCTGAATTACAACAGAAATTAAAATTCTAGCCTTGCAGAGTGACTGTTGTTAAAATAAGGGCACTCATTGGGGAAAAAAATGGGATTCTGTAAATTTGGATTGGGACATGTGGGAAGACCTTGATGAAGCTGAAGACATTAAGCTCCTAAATTCTGGTTAGTCTTCTTTGCTAGTGGAGAGGTTTCCCAAACCCAGTGGAGGCAGCTTCTCCATTTCCAGTGATAATACCCTCCAGCCTGTCTGAGATGATTAACACTGCATTGCCTGAGGAATTTGTAATGGCCTCCCTGAGGCAGTTGCTATGCAAGACAATGTTGATTCTCCTCCAGACCCACCCTACTACCCTTCTTTGCCTCTAGACCTGAAACTGGACAGGAATAAAGTGTAACCCATGAAGAGATGTGCTATATTCCAAAGAGTTACACAAAGTCTCTAGTTTATACGGACAAAAATCTGGGAACATATGTGGGAATGGATAATAAAGATGTGGGAAAATGATGGAAGGAACAAAAAGTTGGATCAGGTCAAATTTATTGACATGAACTCACTAAGGAAAGATTCTGCATTTAACATTGCAGCTTGGAGAGTTAGAAAGGGTGCTCACAGTCTTATTGGCTTGCTGAAACCTGAAAAAGATGAATTAGAAGTGCTGGACATGCCTTGGTTTAATCTAGAAGAGGGGATTGAAAGGTTTAGAATATTGGAAAATTAGATTTTTCATTTAAGAACTACTCGCCCACACTGGGAAAGTCAAGAAAGCATACCTTTCACCAATACTATGAGAAATAAATTTGTGAGGAGAGCTCCAGCATCTTTTTCAGAGCTCTGTGATTGCTCTTTTCTGTAGGTCAGAGCTCACTGCGGGAATTGCAGTCACTGAAGTGGAAGACCTAAAAGCAATGGATGTAATGGATCCCAGGGTGGCAAGGCTCAAGTACTGGGACTCAACCACCAAAGTCAAGATGAAGTGGTTACCGTAAGGACAGAGCCAAAGGAACAATCAGAATAATCTGACTTGTGCAGACCTGTGCTTTGGCTAGTTGATCATGGTCTTCCTGGAAGTGAAATAGATAGTAAGCCTACTAAAGTCTTATTTGACATGAATAAGCTGAAAACTTCTAAGTCAAGTGATGCAAGTTGAACTTGAATCATAAAAACAAAAAATCATGGTCCCTTAATTCCCAGACTTGAGCCACTTTATAGAGCCAAAATGCTTCAACTGAAGAGGAGGACCTCAAGGACCCTGGTCCACAACCAAACATTTATACTGTTAGTCTTTCTCAAAGGGATGTATAGCCTTTTACCAATGTAACTGTGCATTAGAAAAAGGAAATAATCAGATCTTTTGTGAACTAGTGGACACTGGCTCTGAAGTGACACTAATTTCAGGAGATCCAAAGGGTTACTGTCAGGGCAGCAGCTTATGCAGGTCAGGCGATTGACAGAGTTTTAGCTTAGTTCCAACTCACAATGGGCCCAGTGAATTCCTGTGGTTGTCCCCCAGTTCTAGAATGTATAATTAGAATATAGTCAGCAGCTGACAGAATCCACACATTCGTTTCCTGACCTATGGAGTGGGGGCTATTATGGTGGAAAAGGCCAAATAGAAGCCACTAGAACTATCTGTACTTAGGAAAATAGTGAATCGAAAGCAATGCTCATTTCCTATAGGGACTGAAGAGAGAAGTACCACCATAAATACTTGAAGGAAGGTGGGGTGGTGATTCCTACCATAGCTCCATCCGACTCGCCTATTTAGTAGCCTGAGCAGAAGACAGATGGATCTTGGAGAAAAACAGTGGATTATCACAAACTTGACTAGGTGGTGACTCCAATTGCAGCTGCTGTACCAGATTTATTGCTTGAGCAAATTAACACAGCCCCTGTTTCCTGGTATGCAGCTATTGATCTGGCAAATGCCTTTTTCTCCATCCCTGTCATAAGGCCAACCAGAAGCAGTTTACTTTTAGCTGGCAAGGCTAGAAACGTACTTTCACTGCCCTACCTTGGGGTATATCAACTCACCAGCCCTGTCCTTTTTGTTCACGGGAATCTCGATTGCCTTTTCTTTCCACATCACATTGGCCCATTACACTGGTGACATTATGTTCACTGGACCTAATGAGTGAGAAGCAGCAACTACTCCAGACCTACTGGTAAGACATTTGCATGTCAGAGGTGGGAAGCAAATCCAACAAAAATTCAAAGGCTTTTTTTATGTCTCAGTAAAATTTCTAGAGGTCCAGTGGTACGAGGCATGTTGAAATACCCCTCTTAATACCTTAAGAGTTTTTGAATCTGCTGCCTCCTATAACCAGAAGAAGCACAGCACATGGCAGCCCTCTGGATTTTGGAGACAAGATTTCTTCATTTGGGTTTGTTAACTCTGGCCCATTTACTGAGTGACTTGAAAAGCTGCTAGTTTTGAGTAGGATTCAGAATAGGAAAAGGTTCTGCAATAGGTCCAGGCTATTGTTGCTTGGGACATAGGGACTTGCAGATCCAATCGTATTTGAAGTGTCAGTGGCAGATAGAGATGCTGTTGGAACCTCTGGCAGGCCCATATACATGAATCTCAGTGCAGACTCTTAGTATTTTGAAGAAAGGCCTGTTATCTGATGCAGATAACTACTCTTTTGAGAAGGAGCTCTTGGCCTTCTACTGGGCCTCAATAAGGACTGAATGCTTACCATGGTCAACTAAGTTACTATGAGACCTGAGTTGCCCATCTCGAGCTGGGTGTTACTTGACCCATAAGCCATAATACTGGGTATGCACAGCAGGAGTACGTCATCAAAGAAAGTGTTATGTGTGTGACTGGGCCCAGGCAGGACCTGAAGGCAAAAGTTAGTTATATGAGGAAGTGACCCAAATGCCCAAGGTCCCTGTTCCTGTCACCTTGCCTTTATTCTCCCAGGCTCATCGGGAGCTCCTTATGATGAGCTGACAGGAAGAAACAACATGGGCGTAGTTTATATATGGTTCTGTGTGATATGTAGGCATCATCTGAAAGTGGATAGCTACAGGCTAGATATCCCAGCCCTTCTCTGGGACGTCCCTGAAGGGCAATGGTGAAGAGAAATCCTCCCAGTGGGCAGAACTTTGGGCAGCGCACCTGGTGGTTGATCTTGTTACCCCATCTTGGTTAAAAGCAGAAGTTCTGCAGCATTTTATTATTTATTTATTTACATATTTTTTAGAGATAAGGTATGACTATGTTGCTCAGGCTGGTCTTGAATTCCTCCCTTTTCAGCGTCCCAAAGTGTTGGGATTACAGGCGTGAGCACTGTGCCTAGCCTATTGAACCACTTTATTTTATTGGATTATTTTTATAATTTCTACATTTCTTCTGAATTTAATTTAAAAAATTGCATTTTAAAATTCAACCATGTATTATGATCTAATAAAATGATTATGAAACGCAATTCTGACTGTTTCTGTTGGTTCATCAATGAGGACATATTATAAAAAAGGTAGCTTATAAATATCATACCAATGTGCAAAAAAGACATTTTAGATAAAGATTTACCACTTTCTAAACAGTATCTTTTGTGATTCTGGGGACAAGGTAGTATCGGTAAGGCAGAGACAATAAATACATCTTATATAGAAGCATTCATGTAACTTCATAAAATACAAGTTGAAAAATTAATGGTTAAATGACTTACTGTATAACTTTATTTCATATTACATAAATATTAAATGCTCAGTAGACATGCAGATGACAAGCAGTATATGACAAACTATAAAGTAATAGTTACATGCAGAGTTTCTTGAATTTTTAGTGTATCTAAGAATTAACTGAAGACTTAGTTAAAAATGCAGGCTTAAAGGCCAGATTTAATACAAATAGGATGGAGCCTAAGAACCTGTAAATTATTAACCAACTAATTAAAGATAGAAAGGTTCCTATGAAGTTAGGCTTGTCCTTATTTCTTATTTGAACTGGACAGGCGGAAGGATAATAGGTAGGACAGAGTGAGCATTATTAGAATCAAAGTAGAGGCCAGAATATGCCCAGGTGTTTCAGCCTAGCTAAAGAAGCTCAGACTAGAAAAGACCTCCAGGATCAAGCTGAAAAATCTGGGGATTAGGCTCTTGAAATTAAGGTTTCAGAACAGGGGGATAATAACATGATACTGACTTTTAAAGGAATGTTGAGTTGATCAGATGCACTGCTAGCTGGAAAGCCAGTGAGAGGGTTCAGAATGAGATGATAAAGGTGAGCATTAGGAAGGTGGTATTTATAAGAAAAAATAAAATGTGAATAGACACTTTGGTAAAAAATGCTCCTTTCACATACTTACGGATAGGCAGTTAAAATTAAATACAACATTATAAAATACCCATGTCAAACAGAATAACAATATCAGTAACAGTATGAATGAAATAATCAGGTTTTTCAGAGGTTTACTTCCATCGTTCCTGACACTCCACAGGGGCTTAGTAACAGTTTGTATTGCCTAGAAGAATTATTGAAAAGTATGAGTAATTGAGATTAAAATGAATTTATCAATCATTGTAAACTAAAAACAGGCCTTGTATCGTCTCTAAGGCAGATGAAGCAATATATTCTGTAAGATAATTTTATTCGGCTAGGTGCAGTGGCTCATGCCTGTAATCCCAGCACTTTGGGAAGCCAAGGTGGGCAGAACATGACGTCAGGAGTTCGAGACCAGCCTGGCCAGCATGGTGAAACCCTGCCTCTACTAAAATACAAAAAATTAGCCGGACATGGTGGTGTGGGCCTATAATCCCAGCTACTTGGGAGGCAGAGGTTGTAGTGAGCTGAGATCACGCCACTGCACTCCAGCCTGGGTGACTAAGTGAGACTCATCTCAAAAAAAAAAAAAAAAAAGAAAATTTTATTTACATTTATCATTTCAGCCAATTTTAATTTATTGTGAAAGACAAACATGCACGGTCAAGAAATAAGAAATTCACTTCTCCAAAACTGCAAATCAGGAAATGAGTAAGGACCTAAAAGACATTTAGGTTAAAATGCTAAGGGCATTATACAGGGAGTAATTTGGGACAAATAATCAAAGCTTCAAGGAAGATATAATTTGACCTAGCCTTGAAGAACAGGCAGAATCCGGATATATAAAAAAGAAAGTATAGGAGGAAAAAAAAGTCGTACACAACAATCTCATTAAGAACTGCTTTTACATCAGAAGGTGTCAACAAATTTTCACAGTTCATAAAATGGATGACTTGCTAAATGCTGTGAAAGCAAATCCAAAGGAAGAGGACACTTCTATACATTTATTCATGTCTTACCTTCTTTTAATGGGGTTTTCAGGGCAAAATTTTCTTTACTTTCATGATGAAAAGCCTTTGAAGGATCAAAGCGTTTGATACCTAGGACTTTATTCAATTCATCTTGAAGTTTTGTCTCACTTTGTTTTTTTTTTGCAAGCAGACAGCGGAGTTTTGATACTTCCTAGGTAAGAAAAATAATAGGTAATAAACAATTATTAAAGATTATGTCAGTGAAATGTGTTACCAATGTTGTGAGCAAATTTCAAAGTTGTTTCTGTATTGTCACACCCAATGGCAAAAATCACTACTAGACACAGCCTTTAAGACTGAATTACAAAATGACTTGAAACACCTGTGACCAAGGAGATACAGTCTTCTAAATCTCCTTGCCCCTCTACAGCTACAAAGCTATTTTTCTTATAAAAGTTCAACTCAAAATTAATTAATTGCTGAGATGGACTTCCGGCATGAAAGTTCTGCTGACCTGTTCCCTAGTGAAACTAAAAGTTATAAAATGTTGACCAGTTAAAGCCTCTGAAAATCAGCCTAAGGAAAAAACAGCAAATGAAGAAACATCTATTCAAGAAAACCTGCAAAAACTTGGTGAAAAGGATGAGAGTCTGCAGTATTTAAGCCAAAACTCCTTCCTGCCTTCCCACACCCAGCTTAGCAAGGCAGAGTCCTTGCCAGATAGCAACAGCCAAGAACACAGGGCCTTCTTTTCCTCCAACTCCGAGTCAGAGGCTTTCCTCCCAGGAGGAGCAGGATATCAGATTTTCTCATTTTGTCCCCAGCTCCCTGTTGCTGCGGTTACATCTTAGACAAATGTAGTTGTAACGTGGGGGATCCCTTCCTTCACTCAGCCCCATTCATGAAACAGAAGCTCACTCTGGGCACAGTGTGTTGAAAATGCAGGGCCCCTGATCACCTTTGCTTTGGCTGATGAGGGGATGGTTCTACACCAGGAGAGGTGAGTCAAGAGGGCCTGAGGCTATTCCTCATCTCTTTCCCACAAGTCCAGTGAAAACTCAGCTCCTAGGGCAGAGATGTCACTCAGAGAGAAAGGTGCCATTGTCCCAATTTCAGGTTTAGTCCTGGCTTAGAGATATTGTTGGGGGAAAGAGGCGGAAAAGAGAAGTAGGCCATAAAGAAATGAGTAGGTCTACTCCTCATTTCTTCGCAAAAGAACTGACTTCACCTGCAACAGAGCTTGGAGAAGCTGAAACCTAAGGGTGCTCTAAAGCAGGGGTCCCCAACATCTGGGCTGCAGATGGATACCAGTCCGTGGCCTGTTAGGAACCTCGCTGCACAGCAGGAGGTGAGTGGTGAGCCGGAGCCAGGAAGCATAAGCATTACCCACTGAGCTCCCCATCCTGTCGGATCAGCTGTGGCATTAGATTATCATGAGTGTGAACGCTATTGTAAACTGCACACATGAGGAATCTAGGTTACATGCTCCTTATGAGAATCTAATGCCTGATGATTTGAGGTGGAAGAGTTTGATCCTGAAACCATCCCTACCAACCCCTGGTCTGTGGAAAAACTGTCTTCCACAAAACTTGTTGCTGGTGCCAAAATGGTTGGGGACCATTAAAGGACAGTAAAGTTTACAGTGAGAGAGAATTGGGAGGAGATTTAATACATAGGCTACACAGTACACTGGTTAGTTTGCAGATGAAAACTAGGGAATAAGACAGCTGGGAGGAGCATTTCTGTAGTCAAAATAAACACCCAGCACTGCTCTTAGATGGAATTCCTACAAGAGTCAGAATTTGGTTGGATTCGTTTATAGAGTAATTTATGCCCCAGGTTACTGTTGAAAATAATAAAGCAAGGAGTCAGCATCTACTGGAGTTTACAGCCACTAGGTTCAGGGAAAGAGAGTAAAGCTGCCCTACCAAAGCAAGTGTCATCCCAGGGTAATTATGGGCATACCGAAAACTGTACCTCCCTCAACAGCAACATCAGAGGCGCAACACTGTTGGGGGCTGGAAAGGTAGCGGGATAAGCTCACTAAAATAATTGAGCTGCTTATTAAGCAAACAAGCAAATAAGCCTCAAAAGGAGGGGGAGCTGTGCCCAGAAATGCTACAATATATAATCTAAAAATTTACTTTCTAATAAAACATTACATGGCATATCAATAAATAGAAAAGTATAACTTATATATTTGGACAAAAGGAGAAAAAATGCCTTTGAGAGTAATCGGATGTCGTGTTTTTCAGCCATTAAACAAGGGCTGAAAAACTACCTATTGAGTACTATTCTTACTACCTGGGTGATGGGACCAGTCATACCCCAAACCTCAGTATCATGCAAAACATCCATGTAACAAACAAGAAATCCACGTGTCCCCACGTCTAAGAAATGAAATCATAAAAAAGAAAGAGTCCTTGGCCAGGTGCAGTGGCTCAAGCCTGACCTCATGTGATCTGCCCACCTCAGCCTCCCAAAGTGCTGGGATTACAGGTGTGAGCCACCGTGCCTGGCCCTAAATGAATTTTTAATTGGGTGCTAACTCCATTAACTGGAGAAGGAATAGTCTCTTCAAAAATAGTGTGGGAACTATTTCATGTCCACATGTTAAAGAATGAAGCTGGATCTAACCTCGCACCACATACAAAAATCAACTCAAGATCAAACAACGATCTAAATGTAAGAGCTAAAACTATAAACTTCTTAGAAGAAAACACAGGGGTAAATCTTCCTGACCTTGAATTTGGCAGAGGAGACAGACACCAAGAAACAAAGGGAAAAATAGACACACTGGACTTCATAAAAGTTTTGTGGGTCAAAGGACATCATCAAGAAAGTGAAAAGATAATGCACAGAATGGGAGAAGATATTTGCAAATAATACATAAGAGACTTGTGTCCAGAATCGACGAAGAATTCTCACAACAAAAAGACAAATAATCCAATTTAAAAACAAGCAGAGTCTGAATAGACGTTTCTTTCATGAAGATATACAAATGGCCAGTAAGCAATGAAAAGATGACGGACATCATTACCAACTAAGAAAATGCAAGTCGTGTCGCAATGAGATACCACGTGATATCCACTACAATGACTAGGATAAAGAAGTCAGACAAATGTTGGTAACGATGTGGAAAAATTGGAATCCTCATACACTATTGGTAGAATACAGAATGGTTTGACACGCTTTTGAATACAGTCTGATCTTTCTAAGGCCATATCACCCTGAAAACACCCAATCTCAATTGAATACAGTCTGATACTTCCTGAAATGATTAAACATAGACTTATCAAATGATCTGGTGACTTCCCTCCTATTATTTCTCAGGGAAATAAAAACAAATGTCCACATAAAAACTTGCACATAAATGTTTATGGTAGCATTATTTATAATAGCCAAAATGTGTAAACAAGTGTTTACCAACTGACAAATGAATAAAATGTGGTATACCCACATAATAAATTATCAATCAATTAAAAAAGTACTGTCCATGCTACAACATGAATGAACCTTGAAAATATTATGCTAATTGATGGAAAGAAGCCAGTAACAAAAGGCCACATATTATTTGAATCCATGAATATGTCATGTCTACAACAGTAAAATCAATAGAGACAGAAAGTAGATTAGTGGTTGCTTAGCGCTGAAAGGTGGGGTAGGATGAGGAGATAGGAGGGTGTTAGGAAAAGGATAACAGGGTTTCATTTTGAGGTGATGAAAATGTCCTAAAATTGACTATGGTGATGGTTGCACAAATCTGTGAGTATACAAAATATCACTGAATTGTCCACTTTCCATGGGTGAATTGTATAAGATGTCAATTACATCTCAATACATATCAAAAAATTTAAATGTCCAACTATTTTTGAACACTGCTTGTCTTTATGGTTTTACGTCAAGGAGTTTGCAGTTTTGCAAACAGAAATAGATATGTAAAGCTGAATGAATTCATCCAATTACTCTAGCAATTTACAATATATTAAGAAGGTAGCTGGAAAATTTTAGAACATGGAATGACAACCATCTGGTCAACACTCCAAAATAAGTCAACTAAAATCACAGATCAATTTTCATCTATAAACTGCTACTTTTTTCTGATTTTCATTTTAAGTATTACAGTTAGAATAGCCCCACTCCAATATCTTTAATAAAATGAAATGTCATTTTACAAACCGATTTGAGTTGGCTATTTTCATCTTTCAACTTCACGACATGCTTGATTTTTTGTTTTAAATTCCGATGACCCAATAATTCAGCATATGAATCTCTTATTTTATCTAGCTCTTCCTGAGCAGCACCACGTTCATTCAACAATGCCTGTTTTTCTGCTTCAAAAGCATCTAATTGTAGCTAAAAAAGATTTTGTAAATAAAGTTAAGACTTAAAACAGTTTGATCTTACCAGTTTCATATAAACCATAAACACTACAGAAATAGAAACAGGGTATGTTTACATATTCTCAGAACTCTCCAGAGATACTCTATGAAAATCTTTTAAACTTTTGTGTTTTTCATTTGAAAGGTAATTAAACCAGAGGAAAAGAAACAAGGAAAAAAAGCCAGCTGGCCAGCTTTATCTGTATCAGTTGGATCACCACATTATAACCAATACTGTACTTCAATCCACGTTCCAAGATCAGCACTTATCCTTTTTTTCTCTTAAAACATCAGTGTATTGAGAAACAATGAGTATTTGCGATGAGATAAATCATATCGCAAATTAAAATAGGTTAATTATCAAAAGCCCATACCAGGCAAGCTCTCTGCCAAACTTTAAGTTCCTCATTACAATGTTTTTTTATTAAAACCATAAAGGGTCCATTGAAAACTCTGTCAATTAAATTTGTCAATTATACTTCAATAATGTGGGAAAAAATTCTGCATAAGAATTTAATAAAATGTATAAACCTTTAATAGTAAGCTAAACTTGCGCTGTAAATGCAGAGCAAAATGATCTGGCAGAAATCCTGAGTCATGGACAGTAACAGGAAAAAAGTGAATTCCTAAAATAAACACAAGTAAGTTTAACTCCTAACTGACAAACCTGGAAAGGTTTTACTTTATTATACAGTTCTTCGTAAAGGAGACGCCACTTGTTAATTTCTTCAGTTAATTGTGCCATTTTATTTTCTTTTCCAGCTTTTCTGCATGGAAAAATTAAATTGAGAAAAACGTAGTTATTTAAAACATAGCATCGTAACTCAGTTACAGGCACTCCGGCTCTAATCATAGAGTACCTTGCTTCCTCATCTTCCAGTTGTTTTCTAAAATCTTCCTCTTGTTGCTGGAGTTGGTTCTGCAAATCAGTTATTTTTTGAAAAGAAGAAACTGTGATTTCTTTAATTTCTCTTTCTTTTAGTGCTGACTTGGTCTGCAGATCTAGAAGCATCCTTTGGTTTGAGAGAGAAGAGTTCACTAAACATTTTATAGCCATTTTCATTCATTTTTCCTTTTTTTTTTTTAATTGAAGAAACTCTTCAAGAAGTACCTTTTTTTTTTTTTTTTTTTTTTTTTGAGACGGAGTTTCGCTCGTTACCCAGGCTGGAGTGCAATGGCTCCATATCGGCTCACCGCAACCTCCGCCCCCTGGGTTCCGGCAATTCTCCTGCCTCAGCCTCCTGAGTAGCTGGGATTACAGGCATGCGCCACCATGCCCAGCTAATTTTTTGTAATTTTAGTAGAGACAGGGTTTCACCATGTTGACCGGGATGGTCTCGATCTGTTGACCTTGTGATCCATCCGCTTCGGCCTCCCAAAGTGCTGGGATTACAAGAAGTACCATTTTTTAACTAAGTTCTCAATTTGCAATATAAGACGGAAGAAAGCAAGTTACCAGCTCGCTTTCAACATGAAGTTGTCTTAACGGTTCTAAGGCCATGATTTGTTCTACTTACCTTGCATATTCTTGATTTGAACTCTCGGTTGCCAATATCTGACCCTGAATATCATCTGCATTTTTTCCAGCCTTGGCCAATTTTTCCTGTAATGATGAGTTCTGCAGCTTAAGATCTTCAATCTCACTGGCTGTTAATGCTTTATAGCTTATTAAAAAGAAAAAAAAAAAAGTCAAAGTAGTTTTCTAACTAAGGTGTATGACAATCATAACTTATGGGTTTACATTGTATATACTTTAAGGTAAAACTAAAAAGTTTTTATTGTGGTCATGCATTTAACACAGGTAAGAATTCAGTGTTCTGAGGTAAGTACTAATGTGTTTACATGGTATCTGCTGTGTATTCAAAGAAAAAATAATCGAGTGCCTCCTATGTGCAGGAAGTATGCATATAGAGATGGAAAAGAAAATAACTATCAAACATGAAAATTATTCAAAATCAAAAAATAAGATGTGACACTAGAGCTTAATGAGTAAGAAAGGCTGGAGTCGAAGATGGTGGCATGACGGTCATCACTGCAAGGTACGGTGGGGGAAGGAGGGGAACCATTAAAGGTGTCTAAGCAGGCCGGGCACGGTGGCTCCTGTCTGTAATCCCAGCACTCTGGGAGGCCAAGGCAGTTGCATCACCTCAGGTTAGGAGTTCGAGACCAGCCTGACCAACATGGTGAAATCCCGTCTCTACTAAAACACAAAAAATTAGTTGGGTATGGTGACAGATGCCTCTAATCTCAGCTACTCAGGAGGCTGAGGCAGCAAAATAACTTGAACCCAGCGGGTGGAGGTTGCAATGAGCCAAGATCGCGCCATTGCACTCCAGCCTGGGCAACAAGAGTGAAACTCCATCTCAGAAAATAAATAAATAAATAAATGAAATAAAAAGGTATCTAAGTAAGTTGTAAGTAAGTGCGTAGCTCACTTGAGCTATGAGGAAGATTGATTAGGGCCGGGGAAAAACAGAAAGATCAAGCTGCTTTGGATAGGTTAATATTTAATATATACTTGAAGATGTCAAGTAGGTGACTTGATATATGAACAGGTAGCTGTAAAGAAAGGTCTGGTTTGAGGAAATAAATTTTAATGCCATGAGCATATGGATAATGAGTGAAAACACAGAACAGATAAAAAACCTCCTGAAGCACTATTCTTCAAACTAACAAGAAGGCAAATTCCTTTATAGGATTGATATCAGCAATAAATATATGTGTAACTTACATATATTTATACAATTTATATGTTCTGACACAATAAAAGTTATAAATAAAAAACACACATATAAATTATTTACCTATATATCTTTTATAACATATTACATGTGGAAACAGATCACTGGGGAAACAGGGTGCAGTTTAATGAATTAAATTAAACTAGGCAATTGGTTATCCATGTGGAAAACCAAAAATGAATTTGATCTCTATATTGCTCCACATGCAGAAATCTGTTCTAGGTAGAAAAATGGAAGATGAAACTTCGAAACTTCTAGAAGAAAACTAGTTGAATACCTTTATACTCATGGGATAGAAAGAAGTTCTTAAATGAGAAGCAAAGTGCCCACATACAGATATATTGTTTTAACCATATTGAAATCAAGAATTTCCACTCACCAGAAGAAACCGGAAAGAAAACAAAAACGTAAGCCAAACTCTGGCAAAAGATACCTGTAACCCATATGGCTGATTAAAACAAAACAAAAAAACCCTCTACAAATCAATGAGGGAAATATGATAACCCTATAAAATAAATTTTAAAAAGTCATAAACAAGTCTTTTATGGAAAAGGAAAAATGAATTATCCTCAATAAGAAGCCATTTTACACTAAGTACACTGGCAAAATTTAAGAAGTCTAACAAGCTTTGGCAAAGAAGATAATTGGAAACTTACACAACATTAGTGGGAGTGTAGATTCTTAGTCCCACATGGGAAAGTGATTTGGTATTAAGTTTTAGAGTTGAGCATTCATATACCTTTGGCTTTAGAGAAATTCTTGCATACATGTATACTAATAGTCACCAAATAACTACTAACAACTAAACAAATGGGAAACAACCCAAATTCCAAAGAATGAATAAGTTGTGGTACATTCATATAATAAAATACTCATAGCAGTGACTATGAGCAAACCATAGTCTCAGACAACACAATTCAATCCTGAAAATACACACAATGCAGAATGAAAAAACAAGTCCCAGGAAATGGCATATACTGATGACATTTTTTTTGGTGCAGTTCAGGGAGAAGGAAAATTACACAACGCATTTTTTGTATGGATATACATGTCATAAAATTATATAACATACAGGAGAAGAAAGCAAGGAAATAATGCAGGCTTCGGAACAGTGTTATCTGTTCAGGGAAAGCATGAAAATGGGATGATAGAGGAATTTATATATGGATACTAAGTTGTTAAAAATCTTTTGGCTTACTGGTTGCCTTTTATAGATTCATGCATATCAGTTTTATCTTCAAGCCTTATAATTTATGGATACATTATGCATTCTTTTTTTTTTGTTTGTTTGAGACGGATTTTCACTCTTGTTACCCAGGCTGGAGTGCAATGGCGCGATCTCGGCTCACCACAACCTCCGCCTCCTGGGTTCAGGCAATTCTCCTGCCTCAGCCTCCTGAGTAGCTGGGATTACAGGCACGCACCACCATGCCCAGCTAATTTTTTTGTATTTTTAGTAGAGACGGGGTTTCACCATGTTGACCAGGATAGTCTCGATCTCTTGACCTCGTGATCCACCCACCTCGGCCTCCCAAAGTGCTGGGATTACAGGCTTGAGCCACCGTGCCCAGTGCTATGCATTCTTTTGTATTTATTAAATAAACAAAAGAAAGGAACCTCTCCCCCAAAATGATCTAAAGTACATGTGATAAATAAAAATGTTAACATTAATATACTTGTGGTGTGAGATGCATAGGTATTCATTATGCTGGTCTTTGTAATTTGTAGTTCCACCCGAAATAAATTTTTTATTTAAGGAGAAAATAAGTAGAAGGCATGGGAGGTGAGAAACTGGCTACAGAGAGAATCTTCCCTGTCAAGAGAAGGAAAAAAAGTAGAAGGAAAAGGACTGTGAAAAAGAGTAGAGTTTTGGGTTAAGAACGGAAGGAGTGGTAGTGATAGACAGATGAAAAAGGAAATTAAGGTCAAAAGAGTTTTTAAAACAATTTATGTATCTTATTTATTTATTTATTTATTTTTGCAACAGTCTTGCTCTGTCATCCAGGCTGGAGCGCAGTGGTGTGATCTTAGCTCAGTGTAGCCTGGAACTCCTGGGCACAGGTCATCCTCCTGCCTCGGCCTTCGAAGTAGCTGGGACTATAGGCATTTGCCACCATGCCTGGCTAATTCTGAAAATATTTTTTTGTAGAAACAAGGTCTCACTCTATTGCCCAGGCTGGTCTCAAATTCCTGGCCTCAAGCAATCCTCCTGCATTGGCCTCCCAAAGCACCGGGATTACTGTGTGAGCCACAGAGCCCAGCTAATTTTAAAAATCAAAACACGTTTTGTATTGAGATTGGAAAAATTCCAGTAAAAAAGGTTTCAAATTATGAGAGAAAAAAGATAACTGATAGAATGAGGTCACTAAAGGTTAAAAGACCAGGACATTTCATCTGTAATAGGTGGAGCATAAATGTGGGTGTCTGTATGGATTTAATGAGGAGATAAAACTTCTGAATTCTTTATGAAAATGGTAACACCAAGAGAGTAAGGCAGAAGCACCAAATGCTTCTAAGTGCATGACTTGATCCTCCCAACTCAGCTTATGGAGTGGCTAGGGTTACAGGCATGTGCCACCACACCTGGCTCAGTGCACAAAAGTTGAAGTGGATAGTTAGAAAGGGGTATTTCTATAAAGTGGAATTATAAAAATTATAAATATAATAAGATTACTAAATAATGCTAAATGCCCACTTACGGTTGGTGATTACGAAATTTAAACTAATACGAATCATACTCTGACTGGTTTGTTCAGATTTACCTGGGTAAGCACCCCTTTCTGCTCACATTATATATTTTATTTTATTTTTCGTTTTAAGGAGAGGAGAGTTTAACAGGCAAGAAGTGAAGGGAGAAGACAGAAGGAAGAAGCTCCCCTGTACAAATAAAGAAGAAGGGGGGCCCCAAAGCCAAAAGAGGAGGTCCCCACCTGCCAGGATACCAGCCAGGAGTATTGCAGAGCTTGGAGGAGGCGGTGTCTGATTTGCACAGGGCTCAGGAAATGGGTTTGACCAGGCATGTATTCACGTAGCCTTCAAAAAACTGGCCCTCCCACCCTACCCTGTTAATATGCAAATGCAAAGCACCATCCACCCTAGCCTGTTATTATGCAAATGCAGAGCACCAAGGATGTTCTACACACATAGAGATATAGGGGAGTGGCCATGTTGCCAGGCACATGCTCACATTATATCTAAGAGTGCGGGCTCCCAAGAAAAATACCTTTCAAATTGAGCAGTAACATCTTCAAGGCTTTGCACTGTACTGTTGTATTTTTCCTGCAAGAGCAGGGTGGCCTGGGTGTGAGCAGCACTACTTTTCTCCAGTTCAGCTTCCTTCCTAAAACAAAAGAGAAATTTACCTTTGAAACTGTGAATCATATAGCTCATATCTTCATCATTGGATTACCTGCTAAATAGCTCAAATCCAAATTTATGACTTACCTCGAAAAGCACGTTCTCTTAATGCACTTTTCTACTAGTTTCAACTTATCCTTCCTGCTTATTTTGCTTTAAAAATTTGGGGGAGGAGGATCCAAGATGGCCGATCGCTAACATCTCGGGATTGCAGCTCTCAGTGAAAGCGCAGAGAACTAGAGGACACCACACTTTCAGACAAATTCAGGTCGCTCACGGAGCAGAAGATACCCAGTGGAGGAGTCACACGGGTGGCCAGCACGACTCCTGTGGCCGGCGCAGCGGTTTTGCCGGCACCTCGGCACGGCAGCTCTCAGAGTAGAGCAAACAGGGCTGGCTCCCCTTCGGACCTAGGTTTGGAGGACCCACACGGGCCCCCAGCATGACTCCTGAGGCTGGCGCAGCGGCTGTGACGGCACCTCGGCGTGGCAGCTCTCAGCGCAGAGTAAATGAGACTGGTTCCCCTTCTGACCGAGGTTTGGAGCCCCGGGAAGGCAGAGTCGCCTATTTCGGACACAAGAAGGAAGCCAGACAGGAGAATCCTGGGCAGAAAAGCACCATCAGTCTTAACGCCGCTGTTCTGGCCCTGGGAACTAACAACCTGGACGTCCACTCAAGAGACCTAATCTGAAAGTTGGTAATTTCAAAGACGACAGGAGGATAAATTTACAATGATGGGAAGAAACCAGCGTAAAAAGGCTGAGAATACTCAAAATCAGAACGCCTCTCCCTCTAAAGATGATCACAGTTCCACATCAACAATGGAACAAGGCTTGATGGAGAACGAGTGCATCCCAATAACAGAATCACGCTTCAAGGAATGGATAATAAGAAACTTCTGTGAGTTAAAAGAACATGTTGTAGCCCAACGTAAAGAAACTAAGAACTTTGAAAAAAGGTTTGATAAAATCCTATTGAGAATAAACAATTTAGAGAGGAATATAAGTGAATTAATGGAACTGAAGAATACAATACAGGAACTCCGAGAAGTAGGCACAGGTTTAAACACTCGAATGGTTCAAGCAGAAGAAAGGATACCAGAGGTCAAAGTCCAACTTAATGAAATAAAACAAGAAGACAAGATTAGAGAACAAAGGATAAAAAGGAATGAGCAAAGTCTACAAGAAATGAGGGACTATGTGAAAAGACCAAATTTACCTTTGATAGGTGTACCTGAATGCGACGGAGAGAATGAATCCAAGCTGGAAAATACTCTTCAGGATATTATTCAGGAAAATTTTCCTAAACTAGCAAAGCAGGTCAACATTCAACCCCAGGTAATACAGAGAACACCACAAAGATATTCCTCAAGAGCAACCCCAAGGCACTTAATCGTTAGATTCACCAGGGTTGAAACGAAGGAGAAAATACTAAGGGCAGCCAGAGAGAAAGGTCAGGTTACCCACAAAGGCAAGCCTACCAGACTTACAGCAGATCTCTCAGCAGAAACTCTACAAGCCAGAAGAGAGTGGGGGCCAATATTCAACATCCTCAAAGAACAGAACCTTCAGCCCAGAATTTCATATCCAGCCAAACTAAGCTTCACAATTGAAGGAAAAATAAAATCTTTTATGAACAAGCAACTACTCAGAGATTTTATTACCACCAGGCCTGCTTTACAAGAGCTTCTGAAAGAGGCATTACACACAGAAAGAAACAACCAGTATTAGCCTTACTAAAAATATACCAAAAAGTAAAGAGCACCAACATGAAGAATTTTCATCAACGAATGGATCAAACAGCCAGTTAACATCAAATGGCAGTAACCCTAAATTTAAATCGACTAAATCCCCCAATCAAAAGACACAGCCAAAACCCAACGGCATGTTACATCCAGACCTGTTTCACATACAAGGATACACAAAGACTCAAAACAAAGGGATGGAGAAAGATTTACCAACCAAATGGAGAGCAAAAATAAATAAATAAATAAATAAAAAGCAGGAGTTGCAATTCTCGTATCGGATAAAATAGATTTTAAAGCAACAAAGATATAGTGGTAAAAGGATCAATGCAACAACAAGAGCTAACGATCCTAACACCCAGATACATAGAGACTTAGATTCAATGAGACAGAAAATTAATAAGGATATCAAGGACTCAAACTTAGATCCGGAACAAGTAAACTTAATAAATATTTATAGAGCTCTCCACTTCAAATACACAAAATATACATTCTTGTCAATACCACATCACACCTACTCATAGGTTTAAATGAAACATTGATTGGCCATTATTAATACCCATTTTTTTTCAGAATAAAGCAATATTTCCGTTCACCCTCCCTCTTTCTCTTCCTCTTTCTCCCTCTCCTTTACTCATTTTTTTTTCTTTCCTTCTCTCAAAAAAAATAAAATAAAATAAAATAAAATAAAAAAAAAAGAAATCAACTTGTAAACCTCTAGATCCAGGTCAGCAATGTCTCTCTCATTGCTTGATTTCCTTCCTTCCCTTCCCTCCCTCCCCCTTTCCTCCCTCCCTTCCTTCTTTCCTTCCTTCATCCCTTCCTTCCTCCCTCCCTTCCTCCTTCCCTTCCTCCTTCCCTCCCTTCCTGCCTTCCTCCCCCCCCAAAAAAAAAATTGGGGGGAAAGAAGGTAGAGGATATAAAAGACTATTAAAAAAAACTTAAGATTTTAGCCAGTACTAAAGACTGCAAAAGATTACCAGTTAAAAAACATCTGGATTGAATAAAGTTTTATTCTCTGCATTTAGATACTTGAGAAATACTATAAACAATTAAAGATATTTCATTTTAAATTATAGAAGGAGTTATAAGACCCTGGATTTATTCTGATTATATGAATAACCCACATTATACACTATTACTCAAAGACTCAATAACTTCTTTAATCAATTATTTTGCATAGACAGAATGGATTTTAAGTCATCTTTATAAACATACACTATTAAATCTCAGAGATATTTTGGAAATAATATATTTCCAAAGTAGTGATAAAATTTTTAGATAAGTATATGAGCTTATGAGAGAGCTTTTAAAAAATATACAAAACTAAAAATTGCAAATAATCATTGTGTACTTATAGACTAAGGTGGACAATGAGATAAGAAAAAAAGCTGATCAAATTCATTGTGTTAACAAGTGTGGGATTTCAAAAATATACACACCACAGCAACGGCAGTCAGATATCACTAAAGGGTTTATAATAAAAAACATTTTCTTCCCTGTCTCCTGGGGGAATTATTTTTGATCCTTAGTTAGTTTTTCTCTTAAGCTTGAAATTTCTAGGCTAGAAGGGATCTTAGAGATCATCTCATAAAACTTTTCTATATCTAATGAAGTAGAAAATGAAAGCAACTAAGATTGTCTTGCTCAGAATCAATCAGCTAGCTAACAAAACTAGCAATAAAAATCCTTATTTCTTGACCATTGGCCCACAGTTTGAGTTAGAATAAATAATTATCTCAGCTTTCTTTCATCTCTGAAAATGACATTATCTTAGTTTCTTAAGATTCCTGTTCCCTGAGACTAGCTATAGAAGAGAACACCCTTAATTACAATTCTGTATTGTTCCCCAAAAAGCATAGGTATGAAAAACCTTGCTGTTCATTTTCATCGCGAATCACAAGAAAACAGAAGAGTTTAGTAACTAAAGTATTCAACAAGAGACAGTATACACAGGTGTGAGATATATTACAATAACATAAACTCATATCTAGCCCATGGTCCTTTGCCAAAGAGTGTTTTAATGATGAGATCCCAAGGATTTAAATATTTCATTTGCAATCTGAACTCAAGATTCAAACCAGATGTTTTAACTTAAATAAATGTAGTAGGATAGAATTTGTTACTGACCTGTGTTCCTGAACTATGAAACATGAATATGTAGGCTAAGGAATAGTTTCTCTTAATAAAAATTTAGCAAATACTGTGGACAAAACAAAATGAAACAGAACAAAATGAAATACATGTACTGGAGAAGGAAACATAATGCGGCAGAAATTACAAGGAACTAGAGTCAGGGAAGAAAAGTGAGATTCATTCTTTCTACTTTAAATAATAGATTTTTTATTTTGAATGTTTTCCAGTTCTAATTATTTTTTTCTCCTTTGCTTTTTATCAGTTACTGATTGAGATGGCATCTTGTTATATTGCTCAGGATAGAGTGCCATAGCTATTAACAGGCACAACCACTGAGCACTATAGCCTCAAACTCCTGGGCTCTAAAGAGTCTCCCGTCTCAGCCTCCTGAGTAGCTGGGACTTCAGGCATGTGCCACTGTGCTAGCCCATTTTGCATTTTGATTACTATTTCTGAAGTGTTTGGGCTCCCTGAAAAAATATGATTAAAGGTATAACTTACACTAAGTAAATACATAGACAAAAAATGGGAATGTTATTTATTAACAGAAGGGATTCTTTATTATTTTTCCCCCTAAGTTCACTATTGTTTGTTTGTTTTTTAGACAGAGTCTTGCTCTGTTGCTCAGACTGGAGTGCAGTGACATGATCATGGCTCACTGCAGCCTTGATCTCCTGGGCTCAAGTGATTCTCCTCCCACAACCTTCTAAGTAGCTGGGACTGTAGGCACACACCACCATGCTTAGCTAGTTTTTATTTTTATTAGAGACAAGGTGTTGCTATATTGCACAGGCTGGTCTCAAACCCCTGAGCTCAAGGTATCTTCCCACCTTGACATCCCAAAGTGTGGGAATTACAGGCATGAGCTACCATGTTTAGCCCTGAATTCATTATTGTTCTAATGTTGATGTCCAATAATTTCAGAAAATATCAGAATAGTAAAGGAGTATATAAAACTTGTCATTTATTTATTAAAACTCTCTTTGGCCTTAAAAAAAGGGGGCAACACTTTTAACTTAAAAAAAGCGGCTGTGCTACTTGTTTGCATGTACATTTTGTGTACACACTGTGTTTACCACTTAATTGTAAAATAATTACTACTTAATTGTAAAATAATTCCAACCTCACACACTCACATGATTGAGAATACTAAGAATATGTACTCAAAAGAATTTTTGACATTTGAAGTGATGTATAAACATGAGATCCTATTAATACAAACCCTTTCAGCTTTTCTTCTAGGAGTTTTAATTCTTCAGCTCTAGATTTTGTTTCCTCTTCCAATTGCTTGACCAGCTGTTCAGATTGTTCCTCCTTTTGCTGTAGTTTATCAAGCTCATCCAGTGCTTGTTTTAATTCTTCCTCAAAGAGATTCTTCTCTTTAACCATTTCCTCTTGAAAGGAACACAGCTTCTCATGAAGACTAGAAGATAATTCCTATATCCAAACAGAAAACCACCAGAATAATTTGGAATGGCATTGTGAGGTTGTACTAGGAGACAAAAAGTACAGATAAAGAAGGATGAAATCTAAATTCAAGAGATACCAAGAACTTAAAACAATATAGAAACAACATATTTGTTTTCATAGATTATTTCCTATACCTTGTAAACATTGTGGCAAATATCATTTTGGCTTTTTTCTAAGCAATGCACATGCACAAACTTATTAAATGAAAATTTTACATATATCTGTTTTACAACTGGCTTTGATATTAATATAATTTTCACATATTATAAGTGCTGTGATTTCCATATTAATTTTTTTAAGCTATACAATATACAAATATATCACCATTGTGAAAAAACTTGTAACATTACAAATGATGTTAATATTATGTTTGACAACTTCCCCCCTTAATTTTACTTTTTCCATTATAGAGATACCTACTAGTTTGGAATATATATGCCTTCTTGTCTTTCTCTATACATTTATACACATATATTTTGGGAGGGATATAAATGATATATATACTCTGTTGCTGAAATCTTTCCAGGTCAGTGTATATAGATCTACTTAATTCCTTGAACTAGGCTGTCCAACACTATAATATTTCACATCAGTGCATGTAAGTGCCTGGTGGCTCAACTCTCACCAGTATTTTATATTATCAAATGTTTTGATTTGTGCAATTTTATCAGTGAAAAAAATATATTTCTACTTTCTTGGTTACTACAAAGGTGGAACATATTCTATGTTTACAGGCCATCAGAACTTCCCCTTCTCTATTTCTATCCTAAGCCCATATTTTTTCAGTGATATGTAAAATGTTCTTTACATAATCTGGATTTTAAAAATTGTTTCGTTTCTTCTGTAATTAGACACTCTTTTATGAAGTAAGTGTAAATGTTTACATAGCCTAAATAACACAAGAATGACCCAGAAATTTTTCAAAAAATTATTTCCCTATTTTGCTGTATCAGTTGTCATTTTCCCACATTATTCATAACCCTATGGTGAACATGTAGTGAAAATACGTAGCTAAATCCTCAGCATGTCCACAAGTATATCCTCAACATAAAACTCTAAAAATAGAATGGTTAGATCAAAGGATATACACAATTTAAAGGTATTCAGAGACATAGAGAAATGTATGACACAAAATAAACACTAAAATAAATAACGGTAATAAACTACTTTCTCTTGTTGCAGAAGTGAATTAACTTGTAATTCTTTTTGTTGAAGCTTTTCAAGTTCCTGTTGCTCAAGAATAAACTTATGTTTTAAGTTTTGCATCTCAGCATTTAGATTTTCATTGTGTTCTCTATTCTTGTTGACGTGATCTTCTAGAAAGTGCAAAACATGAATATTGGAATTAGATACTAACATTAACATTTAAAAACCCAGACTCCCAGAATATTCCATTATACTGCTTTTAGTATGGTATTTTCAAAGAAAAAAAAACAAAACAAAACTGTTAACTTTGTATCATTACTCCCTATAATACATATTATGTGCTACATAATAAAACCCACAGACCTTGTTCTGTGTATCTACTGTTTTTTAAATAGCCACCTAGTGGAAAAGTCATGAACTATATAGCTGCATGTATTTCAATCAAGACAGGTAATATACTGTATTGAAAACAAACATTATAAGAGTAAAATATTCAAAAAGGCAGTACAGGTTTTTGCCGTTATGTAGCTATATAGCTAATTACATTTAAAATGTTAATGTAGCTAATTATATTTAAAAGGTTGCTTTACCATAGCAGTATTTTTCCCAAATGTTGCCTGTAACACTTATCTAAAGAAAGTAACCATAAAACACTGTAATACCTTTTTCTTTTTCAAGCAGCTGACATTTCACATTTAGGTCTTCTACTTGTTTAGATAATATAACAGTATTTTCCTCAAGAGACTGCTTAAGGCTTAAAATTTCATGATTCTTCTCCTTCAAATTTTCTTCTAACTGGGCAATATCTAGCTTGTATTTTTCCACTTGATCTGAAGCACAACTACATTAAAATAAAATGATCTTAAGAGGCACATCTATTTAGACACAGGGAAAAATAACAGAAAAATGATGAAAATTATTCACTATTCAAAAAAATAAGGTTCAATTTAAAGCTACTGCTTATATTACCTAATTTCTTGGATATATTCTAAGAGTTTTTCTGTTTCAGATTTTTCATCAATCTTTTCTTTCTCTATTGAAACACTAAAACAAAAAAGGTATATGTTAATACATTCTAGTTTATTTAATAATCATACATAATACTTACGTACCAGATACCACTGTATCAGGCAGGCTGACTCCAGAGTCCCAACTCTTAACTATTATTTTACGTAATTTCTCAAATTCACAATTTATATCCAAATAGAAGACTGAAATTTTTAAAGTGAGAAAGTTTTCTGAATACTGACAAAAAAATTATGATGAGAACAATCATTACAGTATCCCGAGTGTTAAAAATAATTTTTTTGTGTGGTCTTCCTGGTTTCCCCACCCACCAAACATACTAAATAGCATTTTGTGTGCCATAAAGCTTTTGTCCCAGACTATCTGGTATTCAATTACTTATCTGTTTCTCTCCTGCAAATCATCCAATGCAAGAAATGGACAAAAGACATAAGACACCTTACAAAAGGTGATATGCACATAAAATGGCCAATAAGTACATAAAACGATATTCAACATTCATAGTAACAAAATCACAGAGGAGATATCACTTCATACTTAGTAAAGAGGCTAAAATCAAACAGACTGACAACACTAAATGTTGGCGAGAATATGGAACAACTGAAGCTATCATACATTGCCAGGGGAGTATAAAAATGGCAAAACCGCTTTCAGTTTTTAAAGACATTATACATATATTACCCTATTACCCAAGAATTCTACTCCTAGAAATTTCTAAAAACCTGTTCACAGCAGTCTTTTTATAATGGCAGAAACGGCAACAACCCAAATAATCAAAAGGAGAAGAGTAAACAAATGGAGCTATACTCAGAGTGAACTACTACTCAGAAATAAAAAGGGAAAAATTACAGTACATAGAACAGTTTGGATGAATCTTGAAAAATTACATCAAACAAAAGAAACCACATTCACATGCTCTTTCCCTTTCTCTCTTGCATGTCCTAAAAAAAAGGCAAAACTGGCCAGGTATATAGTGGCCCTTGTCTGTAACCCCAGCACTCTTGAAGGCCAGGGTGGCATCACTTAAGTCCAGGAATTTGAGATACCCTGAGTAACACAGCAATGCCCCATCTCTAAAAAAAAAAATAATAATGATAACAATAAATAAACCAATGGCAAAGCTAATTTCTGATGATGTAAGTAAGAAAGTAGTTGTGGGGATGGAGAATACGACACAGGCAGTAGCAGGGGAAAAAGAAGGTGTGAAGGAACTTTCTGAAGGGATGAAAATGTTCTCTATCTTGTTTGGCAATGGTTACACAGGTGTATATAAACGCTAAAATCACCAAACTGAATACTAACTATCCATGCATTTTATTGTATGCAAATTAAAGCTCAAAATCAAAGGCTAGGATTGTGCATTAATCACAACTTCCTATACCAGTTTCAATCTAATGATCACTTCCATAAGATCATGAAACCTTTCCTCATATACATATACATAATCCAGAGAATTATGTATATGAAAGTAATGCATTCGTACAACTTTCTAGCATAACATGTTTGGGAATGATTAGGGCTCAAGTCTCATTTAAAAAGAGAAATAGGTCAACTGCAGGGAGGCAATGAGATAAGAGCTAAGCGAAGGTTGAAGTCTCAGTAAACAATAACTTGCAAAGAGAGTCAAATCAAGAATTGCTTCCACTTAACAATTTCTTTCCACATTCGGTCACTTACAGTTTTCCCTCCAGTTGGGCTATTTTCCCCTGAGACTCTTTTAGACTCCTTTGGGTGACCTGCAGCTTCATCTCCATGCCTTCTTGCTTAGCCATCAGATCCTACACAACACAGGTATCTGTTTTAGGAAATGAGGAAATTGTTCTGACCCCAGATTCAGGCACAGCAAACTTGCCAAAGGGAGCACTCACCCTCATCTTTGTTTCTCTTTTGTTTCGAAGTTTCATCAGCTCCAAGCTTAGAATTCCCAAATTCTTCTGATTACCATTTTCCAAAAACTAAGTACAACAAACACGTTAAAAATTCAGAAATATTTTCTGCTAAGATATATTTAAAATACACAAATGTTGATTTTTCTACCTATTACTGGGGTTGTTTTTTATTGCAATATACTTTGGTAGAGAGAACAGTCTTTGACTGACACCATAATTACTGATTGATTTAATTTTTTTTGTTTTTAAAAGATCAAGTCTTGCTCTGCCATCCAGGCTGGAGTGAATGGCGCAATCTCGGTTCACCACAACCTCCGCCTGCTGGGTTCAGGCAATTCTCCTGCCTCAGCTTCCTGAGTAACTGGGATTACAGGCATGAGCCACCAGGCCCAGCTAATTTCTTTGTATTTTTAGTAGAGACGGGGTTTCAACATGTTGACCAGGATGGTCTTGATCTCTTGACCTCATGATCCACCCGCCTCGACCTCCCAAAGTGCTGGGATTACAGGCGTGAGCCACCGCGCCCGGCCGAAACCACATCACTACTAAAAATACAAAAATTAGCCTGGCATGGTGGCGTGTGTCTGTAGTCCCAGCTACTGAGGAGGCTGAGGCTGGAGAATCACTTGAACTTGGAAGGCAGAAGTTGCAGTGAGCCAAGACTGTACCACTGCACTCCAGGCTGGGTAACAGCAAGACTCTGTCTCAAAAAAAAAAAATAAATAAATAAATAAATAAAAGATATAATTCCTATTTGAAGCAGCTTAATATTGAAGGTATGTTTAGTGAAGGAAAGGGCTAAATTAAGCCTAGAACTCATAAACATGTTTATATTTATTCAATTGTAAATGTTTTCATGAGGCTCAGATACCTTAGATTTTAGTAGTTCATTAGTCCTGGTCAATTCAATAAGTTGCTTTTCCAGAGCAGCATTATTTGCAGAGAGAGATGTTTTTTCCCTGAATGCAGCATTTAGCCTTGCTTCTGTCTTTCCCAACTCCGTTTCCAGATCCTGGATCTGCCTGTCCTGAGCACCACGTTCCTGTATAAGAACACGAATCTGGACAAAAAACAAGGTGATAATAAATGATTCGCTGATAGAATGCCAACATAAAGAGATGCTACAAATAGTCACCCCTAAAACTTTTGGAAAAATCTCTAATCTTGACATTTTGTTTGTAGATATTCTAATTTTACTAGCTATTTGAATGATCATATTTACCTATGATACATCTTAAAAATATAAGTACATTTTAAGAGGAGAAGAACTTTAATTGCCATAAATTCCAAGTACAATTAAACTCTTTATTCACTTTTAAGGTATTTCCATCTATAATAGTTATTTTCTCTAGCTTCAATTACACAACTTCAAATTGGCTCAAAATGCTAAATACTTTTTATTTCAAGAAGGCAGAGCTGGGCTTCTGAGGATAATGTACTAGGCACTGGCAAGCCATCATTCTTACTGCTATTACCAGATTAAAAACAACAAAAACTAGGCCGGGTGCGGTGGCTCACGCCTGTAATCCCAGCACTTTGGGAGGCCGAGGTGGGTGGATCACGAGGTCAAGAGATCGAGACCCTGGTCAACATGGTGAAACCCCGTCTCTACTAAAAATACAAAAATTAGCTGGGCATGGTGGTGCGTGCCTGTAATCCCAGCTACTCAGGAGGCTGAGGCAGGAGAATTGCCTGAACCCAGAGGCGGAGGTTGCGGTGAGCTGAGATCGCGCCACTGCACTCCAGCCTGGGTAACAAGAGCGAAACTCCGTCTCAAAACAACAACAACAACAACTCCCAAACCTAATATTTGTCAACAGAAAATGTTGAAGTCAAAAGACAATGAAATGATATTTTAAAAATAATATGGGGAAAAACCTGCCACCCTAAAGTTCTATACCCAGTGAAGTCGCTGGCATACGTTATTAGTTCTAATCCTGGTTCTACCACTCACCAGCTATCTCACTGAGACTCAGTGATTATTCCTGTTAAGTATCAACTCCTACATGTATCCTCAATAAAATGATAGCCAACATTACTAGGATAAATACAAAAGAATCAGAGCAACTGTGCAGACATTTGCAGTTACTCTGACACACTCTTGGTCCAAAGCCAACATTTCATTGTAATCAAATGGAAGATTTTAATGTGTCTAAAGAATATATCCATGAGAAAGAGTTGGTCAGCAATGGAAACGGGAAAAAAAAAAAAAGGCTGCAGAGAAGCAAGGATCACAGTGAGCTGCTTAGTACTGCTTGGAAAGTAAATGGATTCCTTAGGTTAGTACTGTTCAATAGGAATTTCTGTCATGGTGGAAATGCCTTGTCCAGTATATAGCTGCTAACCACATGTGTCTACGGAAATGTGATTAGGGCAACTGAGGAACTGAGAGTTCTTAATTCTATCTTATTTAATTTAGATAGTCACATGTGGTGAGTAGCTACCATATTGAACAGCATAGCTCTATGTTACCTCACCCACGAGGAAGGCATATACCTACTATTGGGTAGAGCAATGCATTGAGTTAGCCAGCCTACCTTCATGACGCTCTAACCAGCTAGGATTGCATGCTCACTAAGAAATCCTCTAGCTATGCTGTCTTAACGTAAGTTAGCATACAGGAAGAGTGTGAGAGATGGACAGATGTAAATATTTGATCTACATATCTAATTGCAATAAACTGACATAATGATTTTGAGTTACCAGTTTTTCATTAAGTGAGCTATCTTGAATCTCGGCTTTGCCAGCATTCCACATTAACATGGCCTAGATAGATCTCTGAAATAGTGTAACCAAGCTAAAGAACGGTTTTCCTATAGACACGGTTGTGGAGGGCATGTTTGCCTCACTGCAGGACTCTCATATTGCACAGAATCCTTATCTCTTAAATCTGTGCAACTCTCTTTCTATTGTATGTACTTTTAAATAAGTTGAAAGCACTGCTTACCTCTTTTTCTAATATCTTCAAATCTTTATCATTCTTTTGAGATTCTTTCTGTTTAAAAGTCAAAGAAAACGTATAAGCAAATTTAAATGTCAAGTATCACAGCCAAATTTGTTTTTTAGTTATCAGAAATGATTAAGGGATTGAAACAGTTTCTATTTTAAACATTATACCTAGTGTGTTAAAACGTTTGTAGGTCACTCATTTGATAAATCAGAGATTCTAAAAATCTCAAGATATTTCAGGTTTAAAAGTTTTCAACCCAATAAATAAGAATTTTTCTAATCAGCCCAGTGAAAAGAACAGGTGGAACTTCATGAATAAAGCTGACTGCCTCCCTCTAATGTTAAACAGCAATACATCTTGAATATTTAATTATGCTACCTCCGAAAGAATCTTACACAGAGAAATCAACTTAAACTTTGATACCCAAAGAGGAAACCAAATATATAGATGCAAAGAAATAAAACCTGAAATAGCATAAGCTCTGATGCTAATTTCCTCATCGGCTTTATTCTAAATAAGACATATAATTTTCACACTATATCTTTTTATATCCAACAGCCTTTCTGACACCATGGCTAGAAAAAGAACATCTTTTCCATGTAAAAATGCAAGAAAGGCATTAACATCTTGAATGAAATCTGTTTTAGATGTTTCTAAGTGGGGTGGGAGGTGGGCATGACACCAGTGTCATGTTTATTAATTTCACACTCCATAAAAGTTTTTATGGGGAAGGACTTTTAGGGGACCCAAACCAACTTGTATGTAATTTAGTTTTCTAAGGGGCTTTATAAATTCTATAGTTACTTCAAAATTTCAGAACAGTTTCTTCAAGAAATTTAAGTCAAACCACTTACACCAAATTCTAAGAAAGGAGTCTCTATAATAGTCCTGCCCGATAAAAATAATGCAAGCAACATATGCATTTAAATTTTTCTGGTAGTGTATTTAAAAAGTAAAAATGCTAATTTTACTTAACCCAATATATCAAATAGCTTATTTCAGTATGTCATTAGGATAGAATTATCAATGACATGTTCTATTTTTGTATAAAGTCTTTGAGGTTTTCTTTGTATTCTACACTTATAGCACATCTCAATTCAATGCTAAATTTTCATCAGACACATTTATGTATATTTAATTTCATAAAACATACAGGAGGAGAAAAATAAATTCATATACTCAAATTGTTCCAAAAATATTAAGTGTTCCACTAACACAATCGAGTATGCCTTTAAATATGCATTAAAATTAAATAATATTGAAAATAATATTGGTTCTTAAGTAGCACAAGCCACATTTCAACTGCTCAATAGCCACATGTAGCTTTGCTTCTATACTGAACAACACGGCTCTATATTACAGAATATGAGGCTTAGCCAACTGCCAAATGAATGAACAACCTAAGTCTAACTTTTTCCAATTCTGAATCTTTTTCACATCAAAATACCTATTAATTTATACAACTCTTTTACTTTATTTTTGAGACAGATCTCGCTCTGTTGCCCAGGCTGGAGTGCTGTGGTGCAATCTTGGCTCACTGCAACCTCTGCCTCCCTAGGTTCAAGTTGTTTTCCTGCCTTAGCCTCCCAAGTAGCTGGGATTACAGGCACCTGACACCATGCACAGCTAATTTTCTTGTATTTTTAGTAGAGATGGGGTTTCACTATATGGGTCAGGCTGGTCTCAAACTCTTGACCCCAAGCAATCCACCTGCTTTGGCCTCCTGAAGTACTGGGATTACAGGTGTGAGCCACTGTGCCCGGCTGTCTTTTTTTTTTTTTTTTTTTGAGAGAAGGAGTCTTGCTTTGTCACCAGGCTGGAGTGCAGTAGCACCACCTTGGCTCACTGTAACCTCCACCTCCCAGGCTCAAGTGATTCTCCTGCCTTAGCTTTCCAAGTAGCTGGGACTATAGGTGTGTGTTACCATGCCCAGCTAATTTTTGTATTTTTTAGTAGAGACCTCCGTCTACTCTATTTTTTAGTAGAGACCACTATATGTTGGCCAGGCTGGTCTTGAACTCCTGACCTCAGGTGATTTGCCTGCCTTGACCTCCCAAAGTGCTTGGATTATAGGCGTGAGCCACCATGCCTGGCCCTGGCTGTCTTTTAAAAAGTATTATACTGCCCAGTGTGGTGGCCCACACCTGTAATCCCAGCACTTTGGGAGGCAAAGGTGGGCGGATCAACTGAGGTCAGGAATTCAAGACCAGCCAGGACAACATGGTTAAACCTCATCCCCAGTAAAAATACAAAAATTAGCTGGGCGTTGTGGAAAATGCCTTTAATCGTAGCCACTGGGGAGACTGAGGCAGGAGAATCGCTTGATCCTGTGGGGACAGAGGCTGCAGTGAGTGGAGATCTTGCCACTGTACTCCAGCGTGGGTGACAGAGTGAGACTCTATCTCAAAAAATAAAAATAAAAATAAAAAAAGTATTATGCAGCTTACCTGATTATAAACTTACGAAAATAGTAATAGTAGCTCTTGCACAAGCCAGAAGACTACTAAGAATTTAATCTCCAGCACTCCTTAACAGCTTCTCAGTGGCAAACTTCTCTTAAATATTGGAATTTTTACATTGGGAGTGGTGGCTTACACCTATAATCCCATCACTTTGGGAGGCTGAGGCAGGTGGATTACCTGAGGTCGGGAGTTTAAGACCAGCCTGACCAACATATAGAAATCCTGTCTCTACTAAAAATACAAAATTAGCTGAGTGTGGTAGCACATGCCTGTAATCCCAACTATTGGGAAGGTGTAGGCAGGAGAATCGCTTGAACCCAGGAGGCAGAGGCTGCAGTGAGATCATGCCATTGCACTCCAGCCTGGGCAATAAGAATAAAACTCTGTCCCAAAAAAAAAAATATATATATGTGTGTGTGTGTGTGTGTGTGTATACACATACACACACACACACACACACACACACACACACACACACGGATGAATTCATTTCCCCTTTTTCTTCGAAAACACCCTTCCCCAAAAACAAAACAATTCAAATGGTGGTACTTAATAAATCAAAACATCAAATAATTTTGAAATGTTTACTAGGTAATAACAAGTTATTTACACATAGAAGTGATTGAGAATTGAAGACCATTGTAACTGTGAACTAAGGGCACATTTAAACCTAATGACCTAGGCAGAAATGTAAAACTTGCTAGAGTTCTAATGATAATTTGTTTCATTAATGTACATATTTACTTACAACCTTGATTCACACACCTAACCCATTCTAATCAAATACAGTACTCTCAGGTGTTTTGATGATACAGTTAATAAACTAGCTGGCATATAAAAGCTCCTCACCTTTGATTCTGAAGACTTAACTTTTCTAGCTGAAGCAGGCAAGGTAGTATCTTTGTCAACATTAAGATTTTGTTTAGAATCTGCAGAAAAACGAATTGTACAGATCATGGTTGGTGTTGATATATTTTAACTACCCACAAAACACAATTTCCAATTTTGTTGTTGTTGTTGTTTTTGATTTTTGAGACAGTCTCACTATCACCCAACGTGGAATGCAGTGGTGTGATCTTGACCCACTGCAACCTCTGCCTCCTGGGTTGAAGCAATTCTCCCACTTCTCTCCCTAGTAGCTGGGACCACAGGCACACCCCATCACCCCCAGCTCATTTCTTTATTTTTAGTAGAGATGGAGTTTTGCCATGTTGGGCAGGCTGGTCTCGAACTCCTGAACTCAAGTGATCTACCCACCTTGGCCTCCCAGAGTGCTCAGATTACAAGCATGAGCCATCTTGCCTAGCCCCACATTTTTAATCGCAACTATTGATTAAACAATATACTCTTCTCTTAATTGTACATTTTCAAATAATTACACAATATTTTTACACATCTAACACCTTTCTCATTTTCCTAATATTCCCTGACAGATCAAGGTAATTAACAAAAGGGAAGTTACATATCAATATGAGTATCTTGCTTAATATTCCTGTTTATATAACAATGTAATAACAGCATTATTCCGTACTTGACTTTCATAAATCCATCAAAATTTAAATATAGTTCTAGCTTCACATTTAAAAAAATGCTATAACATCTTTAAATTTAATTGTTATTCATAACTTTAAAACTTAAAAGATCACATAACCATTGTTCTCTGGTGATCTATTACCTTTTTGTTGTTTAAACCTTTGTGATTTCTGAAAGGATACTGGTCCTTTCAATACCTCTGAAGTTTTAACATCATAAGCACCTGGAGATGGTGCACAACCTAGAGGAAATAGAAAACATTAATATATCATCTAATGTTATTTATGATCTTAAGTTAAAGCATGTCATAATAAAGTAAACATGAATGTAAAGTGTCATTAAGAAACTACTTCTATTTTATTAATGTAAAAAACTGCATCCATTTGATATTTTAAAGAAGGCCTCTCTTTATAATATCTATTCATATTATTATTCTATTTATGAAGAACAGTATCATCTTGTCCTTTATATCAATTAGGTCAAAGGAACACAGGCAACTAAACAAAAGACAGTTTTGAGATGAACATCATGTATTACAGCCAATACGGCTTTCTTATTAAGGACTGAATATAGCAAATAAAATACCTGGTGACAACTCTACTCAAAGAGAGTCAGGGAGGTAACTACCATCGGTTTCTGGAAATAAAGTAATTAAAACCGTCTATCCCTGAATATTTAGCCTAGAATAAAAATTTATAGTGATATTCTATCTCTGGCTATTATCAATATATTAGACCTATTGATGATGTCAAGTGCAATTCAAACACACAGAAGAAAAGCAACCACAGTAGAGCAACTAGAACTTTTTGAGCACTTACTAAGCCAGGCATTATGCTAAGCATTTTATAGATGCTATTTTATTTAATCCTCAGAAGAACCCTATGTGATAATTTACAGATAAAGAATGTGAGGCTTAGAAAATTCAAAAAGCCAATGTTATGCAAAGTAAAAATTGTACTAGACTGTCTTTCTATGTTCCAGAACTTTATATGCATAATTTCACTTAACTGAAGTTCTAAATTTGAAGGCATTTCTGAGTAAATACACATAGCAGACTTGAGACGGGGCTCTTAGAACTTAAAATACTGAGCCTAAAACTTGAAAATAATTAAAATACTATGAGCCTAAAGCTGGTTAGGAACGAATAGATTAATATGATATTGTTCTCTGAAAAGCTATTGATTTCCCTCTAGAGTCAAATAAATAAGAAGGGCAAGGAGTTTTGACGATTCCCAGGCAACTACTGTTGTCCCCTAAATGTTTGTAAAATAGTAGGCAGGCTGGAGTGCAGTGGCGCTATCTTGGCTTACTGCAAACTTTGCCTCCTGTGTTCAAGCGATTCTCCTGCCTCAGCCTCCCGAGTACCTGGGATTAAAGGCATGCACCATCACACCCTACCGAGTGCCAGCTCGGTCGGGAGACCTCCATCCAGGCGGCGCTGAAGGTTATGAGAGGCAGACACCCAGATACAACAGCAGAGTGGATCTATTTGGGTAGGCCAGCAGCCTACTGAGCTGAGAGCCTCAGGAGCTGACAGCATTCCAGGCTGAAAGTCACCAGCAGATTCTCATCCACGTATTTATTCTCTCTTAAACAGGTGATTCTTATTAATAAACAGGTGTTCTGTATTTACTCATAACTAAAAATATACCAAGTAGGCAGCTATTAACCCGCCTAGCACTAATTACAAACTAAAAGGTATTCTCCACAAGGGAGCGAAGGGGGCAGAGGGTAAACTTAATGTCTCTCAACAACACCGGCTAATTTTCTTTTAGCAGAGACGGGGTTTCAGTATGTTAGCCAGGCTGGTCTTGAACTCCAGACTTCAGATGATCCGCCAGCCTCGGCCTCCCAAAGTGCTGGGATTACAGGTGTGAACCACTGTGCCCAGCCTCATAGATCTTGATTAGCATTTTGTAAAAAGTAAAAATAGAAAAATCAGCATGACTCATATGCCACAAAGCATTGTTTTGTGAAACTTTCATATGTATGTGTAGACACTAAAATACATCCTAGGTAGAAATATAAATTTTAAGGTATTTTTTTTTGAGACGGAGTCTTGCTCTGTTGCCCAGGCTGGAATGCAGTGGTGCCATCTCTGCTCACTGCAGCCTCCACCTCCCAGTTTCAAGGGATTTTCGTGCCTCAGCCTCCCCAGTAGCTGGGACTACAGATGCGTGCCACCATGCCTGGCTAATTTTTTTGAGACGGAGTTTCGCTCGTTACCCAGGCTGGAGTGCAATGGTGCGATCTCGGCTCACCGCAACCTCCGCCTCCTGGGTTCAGGCAATTCTCCTGCCTCAGCCTCCTGAGTAGCTGGGACTACAGGCAAGCGCCACCATGCCCAGCTAATTTTTTGCATTTTTAGTAGAGACGGGGTTTCACCATGTTGGCCAGCCTGGTCTTGAACTCCTACCCTCCGGTGATCCACTCTCCTCGGCCTCCCAAAGTGCTGAGATTACAGGCGTGAGCCACCACGCCTGGCGCCTGGCTAATTTTTGTATTTTATTTTATTTTATATTTTAGTAGAGATGGGGTTTCGCCATGTTGAAACTCCTGGCCTCAAGTGATCCACCGGACTTGGCCTCCCAAAATGCTGGGATTACAGGCGTGAGCCGCCACACCGGGTGGTCCTTGGGTCTTTTGACTAAGAAATTAAGTTTGTACTGATACATTTGCTCATTTGGCCTTTTTTTTTTTTTTTGAGATGGAGTTTCGTTCTTGTTACCCAGGCTGGAGTGCAATGGCGCGATCTCGGCTCACCGCAACCTCCGCCTCCTGGGTTCAAGCAATTCTCCTGCCTCAGCCTCCTGAGTAGCTGGGACTACAGGCGCTCATTTGGCCTTTTGTGAGTAGCTGTGAACATTTTCATTCACATGCTGGCTGATGGAAATTAGGGATGTAATGTGTAACCATGAAATACTGTATTATAGTGGATAAATCATAAGCTTAGATAGTTAGCTCTACCACTTAACTGGGTGTGCAACAGTTACAAAACCCATTTTCTCATCTGTAAAATGAGGTCAGTATCAGTACCTTCCTCACTTGGCTGTTGGAAGAAATAAACAAGATCTAGTAGCACAGTCCCAGCATCTTTAACGATGAGCGCCTACCAAACACTTCTAGGACTTCCTGGTTACTGTGCTTACGCATTGCAGTGTTCAAGAGCACATGATGGGGGCTGGGTTCAGATTCCAGTACTGCCACTTTGGTAGTGTAGCACTGAGCAAATTTTAGTCTCAGTCTTTTTATCAATAAAATAATGAATTGGATTACCCCTTAGAGTTGGTGGAAAATTAACATAATAATCGATGTAAAGGCTTAGTATGCACGGTGCTTGAGGTGTAAGTGGTAAATAGCCATGATAACTTCACTGTTTATGTTTTCAGTAAGTGCTTCTACTTTAATTTTACACCCATAAATTGCCTTTACCAATCTTACTTCTTTTATGGCAGAATGGAATAAAAGAAATCACAAGGTCAGACTAACATTAATACTCCAATGTTTTTATCACTGAGGCCCTCTCGGACTTGAAAATCAAACAGCTACCAACGCTTCGCCTCCATTCCCTTCGCCCTGCTGTAGTTTCTCCATTACCGCTGTTTATTGGCAGTACTCCCCGCTTGAATGTAAGCCCCACGGGGCGGGGACTCTTTCACTTACTGCGGTATCCTTACAATATTGCTTAGTGCTTGGCATGTAACAGATGCTTAGCGCATACAAATCAATTAATTGAATGAGCCCCAGCTGGACCCTAAAAACGCCTCCTGCTTGCCTCCCAGGAATGGAACCGAAACAGGCAAAGGGTGTTAGGGCGCCTTCCGTCCCCCAGCTTCTTACCCCTTACGTACCAGAAGGGTCATTGAATCGTTTCAGCGGCGCCTTAGGAAAGGACATGTTGACGGCCAGCTCCAGACACCGACAGTCATTGGCACTCCTCCGCAACTGAATGCGGATTATCACTGCCTACCGGCTTCAAATTCAAATCTCCCCATATTCCCCTCCCATCCAGGCGCTGGCCAATTGGAAAGCCAAACCCCTGGGCACACCAATCCTGCACAGGAACACGAAGAAAGAATGCTGGTTTCTGACTGCGTCGAATTAGCTGGCCTGTGAGTTTAGGCGAGCAGCCAATAGGAGACCTCGCCCCACCCATACAACCAACCCACCCAGTCATTCCCAGCGTTACTCAGTTGTAACCTAGGAACCAATATCATTTGCGCAAGCGCATTTCACTCCGGAGACGTTTGACAGTGCATTTTTGCGTCACTTACGTGACGGTATAGTGAGTTCCGGTTTCGCTGGTTCCAATTTATCCCATCGTTCGTTGCATGTGAACTTTTCTGGATTTCAGTTCTTTCAACTGGGTTCCGCCGGTGCCGTAAATGGTCATTCAAAGGAAACAACGAAGACGGACATCGAGACGCCAGCTTGCGTTCCTGCGCATGTGCAGTGACCCGAGCTAAGGGGCCGTACCCTGAGCGTGGGATTCCGCGCTTGCGCTTGGCTCCGCCTGGTGCGGCGGCGGCCGGGAGGCGACTGGAGTATGTCGGCCCCGTTTGAGGAGCGGAGTGGGGTGGTTCCGTGCGGGGCTCCGTGGGGCCAGTGGTACCAGACCCTGGAGGAGGTGTTTATTGAAGTTCAGGTGCCGCCAGGCACGCGCGCCCAGGATATCCAGTGCGGCCTGCAAAGCCGGCATGTGGCGCTGGCGGTGGGCGGCCGCGAGATCCTCAAGGTAGCGGCAGTTCGGGGCTTGTATTCAGTTTCCTCTTCCCAGCCGCCTCAGCCCCCGAGTCCTAAAGTTCATGGTTTCCCTGAACGACTGTTGGGTGTCCGGACTACTCATGTGGCTGGCAGAAAGAGAAAGAGGGTAGATAACATTGACCAGGGTTGGGTCTGGTCGGAGCCTCCCTCTTCAGGGCAGGTGCTGAATTGTGGAAACTTGAGGAGATCGTTTTCCAGCTTAGTTTTCAAACCAAGTCAGACTGCTGCTTCTGCTTCTCTAAGGGGTTTCAGCTGCGAACAGACTGAGTTGCTAAAGGAACAGATATTTCTTCCGGTCACTGAAGACAGGAAGGAAGGTGCAGGAAGACGACAAGACAGAAGAGTTCCCTGCAGTGGAGAGGTTAAGCTCTTGTAGTGGGGAATATTAATGAATAGATAAATATAGGAAAGAACAAAGAAACTAGTGATAGGATAACGGGCAGAGGATTTAGAGATGATGTTAGGTGATTAGTTTTCTCATCTAAAAATGTAAAAATCCTGCTTGTTTGTGGAGTGGTCAAGCAGGTGGTAAAGAGGTGTGTGCATAAAATTAGTAGTCCATCTTTTAATTTCCTTTCACCAATACTCTTTGGATCTGCACCCACTTATTAAGGGAATAGTTAAATTTAATTAACAGTTTGAAATTAGATTTTATTCTTAGGTTGGTTGCCTAAGATGTTTGATAGCAGTGTAATGTGGTGTAGGGAGACTCCTTGTTTGCTGGTTTTGTAAACTTGGGCAAGAGATTGTTCCGTGTCTCTAGGTCTTCCGTATCCACAAGATAGGTTAGTTCTAGTACCCTTCTCATAGGATTGTTTTGAGAATAACATGGTATTCATGTATATGAAGAGCTTAGAGTATTCACTAGTATGTAATAAGTTAATACCATATGTTAGCTATTATTATATATTATAATATGTGGAGGTGCTTTGAATGCCTCGAGATTCCTGTGAAAAACATTGATTTATGTCAGCTTGGATCTAAGTGACTTCTGAATTGTCGTACAATTCATAGTTTCCTGAACAATGGTATTAGATTACAATTTAAATTTAGTAAATCCAGCAACTTTAGGAATTTAGCAGTAACGCTGGGATTTTTGATGTACATCTAGACCACTGAGATTTTTTTTCCCACTAGGTTTGACATTTTAAAATGTGGGCTTTTTCTAGTGACATTTTAATTTCACTTTCTGTGAGTTAAATTTGGCAACAAATTAAAACGGATTTGAGCTAATGCATTCTCATATATATATATATATATAACATATATATATAACATATATATATATAACATATATATATATAACATATATATAACATATATATATATAAAACATATATATATATATATATATAACATATATATATATATATATATAAAATATATATTTTTTGAGTCAGGGTCTTTTGTTGCCCAGGCTGGAGTGCAGGGGTGAGATTGTAGCTCACTGCAGCCTCAAACCCCTGGGCTCAAGCAATCCACATTGACCTTCAAAGTGCTGGGATTACAGGCCTGAGCCTCTGGGCTTGGTGCGTTCTCTTTTACATTTATGTTTTATTTTTATTTTTTCAAAAAACATGAGTGTGTAAACAATCAGTCACAACTGATCTATCACATCTGGAATATATACTTTGAAGTTTGTTTTTTTTTAATGCTGATTGCCCAACAAAAAGATTAAACCGTTTTTTACAAGTTTACTTTAAAAGACAACATTTCTTAGTTTTAGCAGGAGATCCCGTCTTGTGGTTAATTTTAATTGGTAGAATTAAAACATTTCAGATATTAATTTCACATTTGGCCAGTGGCCAGTAATCAGTATTACTATATCTTACAAAAATTAAGGAGTCCTGATCTTTCTTTAGAGGGCTCTGTGTTCTTTGCCATAGTAAAGATTCCATGCAGTATAAACTAGTTTCCATTTTACCTGCTGGGAGAAAATTTAGGGTTGTGCAGCTATAAATGTCATGATGAAGTGGTATAGATGTGGATTAGGTAGGAAAGTAGGTAAACTTAATCATAAAAACTTAATACAAATTAATCAAATTCTCTATTTTTAGCACCTTGTATGTTTATTTTTCAGGGCAAACTCTTTGATTCTACAATAGCTGATGAGGGAACATGGACTTTGGGTAAGGGTAATTATTATAATTCATCAGATCTTTTTTTAAAATTAATTTGTCTTGGAATTTACTGTCTTTTTCCCTAAGATAAAGCAATAGAAATGTGTTGAAAACAGTTGTATGTCAGAATTACCTAGTTGGGGGAGAAAAGATTACCTAGTGGTATTTGAAAATAAAAAATTTAAAAATTTAATGAAGAACTTTTTGAGACAAGCCTGTCCACAACATTGCAAAACCCTGTCTCTACTAAAAATAAAATAGCCAGGCATGATGGTGTGTGCCTGTAATTCCAGCTACTTGGGTGGCTGAGGAATGAGAATCACTTGAACCCAGGAGGTGGAGGTTGCAGTGAGCCGAGATTGGGCCTGTGTCTGTCTGTCTCTCTCTCTCTCTCTCTCTCTCTCTCGCTCTCTCGCTCTCTCTCGCTCTCTCTCGCTCTCTCTCTCACACACACACACACACACACAATTTGATGAAGAACTCTAATTTCTTTGTGTTTTTTTTTTTCTTTTTTTAGAGGATAGAAAAATGGTTCGTATTGTTCTTACCAAGACAAAGAGAGATGCAGCAAATTGTTGGACTTCTCTACTAGAATCTGAATATGCAGCTGATCCTTGGGTACAAGACCAAATGCAGAGAAAGCTTACATTAGAGAGATTCCAAAAAGAAGTAAGTCAGATGAAGTGTGTCAGTATGTGTAATTAAATATATAAAAATCATTGAATAAATATTATTTGAAATTAAAACTCAAATGTCATTATGAAAAGTTATATTTTCTAGAAGAATTTTTTAAGTGAATGGTTAGAAAAATGGCCTTTCTTGTATGGATTTGATTTTTTCAAAATATTTTCTTGAGAGGAATTAATTTGTATTGCTGTGATTTGTGAGTTTAGGCATACTTTTATGTACATCAGTAATGCATGAATAAACTCTTAATATAGTTGAACCAGTATAGACTTACCTAGTATCAGAAGTGAAAGGCCCCTTCACCACTATTCTCTGCATTCCATGCATCTATCTCATTTTCGTCTCATATGTTGGCTATTATTTTTAGCATAAATGGAGGATCACACGTGTATTGTTCTTCATGTTGCTTTTTTATTTAATAATATGCTGTGGGTCTCTTTCCTCTTTCTTTTTGTATGTCTTCTTTTTCTTTTGGTAAGTATGATATTCAATAAACTTGTCTAAATAGGAATTTTGTACCCCTTTGTGTAAGTATAACCATTCATACAAATTATAGTGCTAAAAACAAGAAAGGAAAAAAGTCCATAAATATATTTTAAGTAAATTAAGAGTTAATAAAAATTTATTCATTAGAATATTATTACTTGAGGGATTACTTTAAAAATAGTTTACAAAAGTCAAGAAGTTTAAAAATAATTAAAAGCCTAATTATACCTAACTTTTAAGTATAAAACTTGTTCTTTTTAACTGCGTCAGAGTATTCCGTAGTTTGGATATGTCATCATTATTTAACTCTTTGTCTTTAATATGATTTAGATTTCTTTGTTTTTCTCTATTTTAAACAAAGCTGTGTTTTCATCTCCGTCTTTTTTTTTTTTTTTTAGGATAGATTATTGCTCTGTTATCCAGGCTGGAGTGCAGTGGCATGATCTCAGTTTACTGTAACCTCCGCCTCCTTGGTTCAAGAGATTCTCCTCAGCCTCCTGAGTAGCTGGGATTACAGGCTTGTCCCACCATGCCCAGCTAATTTTATTTTTAGTAGAGATGGGGTTTCACCACGTTGGTTAGGCTAGTCTTGAACTCCTGACCTCGTGATCTGCCTATCTCGGCCTTCCAAAGTGCTGGGATTACAGGTTTGAGCCACTGTGTCTTTATGATAATGATTTCCAGATGTATATCTGTAGCCTAGACTTTTTTTCTCAATTTAGGACCTGCATATCCAATTGTCTATTCAGGATTTCTACCTGGCTATCTAATGTATATTAAGGTCAACATGTCCAAGTTGAACACTCTCATGTCCTTCCATATTTGTTCTTATCTCTAACCTTCTCATCTCAGTTGATGAAAACTAGTAGTTCAGGTCAAAAACATACTGGTACTCATCCTTGATTCTTACATCTCTCTCATATCCTATCCAATGTATTAGGAAATCTTACTGATGCTACCTTACAAATATATTTAGAATTTGACCACTTCTCACCACCAACTCCTACCATGCTGAACTGGACCACTTCTGATATCTTGCCTGGATTACTCTAATAACCTTCCAATTGGTCTTCTCACTTTTACCCTTGCCATAGTCTTCTCAAAATAGCAGTCAGAGCAGTTCTTTTAAAATGCAAGTCATATCATGCCACTTCTCAGAACTCTGCAAGTCATGTCTCTATCTCTTAAAGGACCCTATCTGATCAGTTATTCCATTATCTCCCTGACTACTTCCTCCCTTACTGCTATCCATCTTAGTGATTCTTCTGTAGCCATACTGGCCTGTTTGCTGTTCTTTAAAGAATGTATCAGCCCATCTCTTTGCTGCCCTTCTGACTACAATGCTCTTCTCGTAGGAGCACTTGGCTCACTTTTATGTTTTCCTATCATTGCTCAATGAAACATGCTTTGATCATCCCATTTAAATATTATAATTTTATTTCCCTTACCCTGTTCAATTTTTTTTTTCTGTATTGCCAACTTTTAACAGCTGATCAGGGGTTGGCAAACTACAGCCCTTGGGCCAAATTTGGCCCACTACCTGCTTTGTAACTTTTCAAGGATACACAGATGCTCATTTGTTTGTGTACTGTCTTTCAGACAATTGAGTATTTTGTGACAGAGACTATGTGGCCTGCAAAGACTAAAATATTTACTACCTAGTTCTTTAAAAAGTCTGCCAGACCCTGTACTGGTTGATTTATTGTTTGTTTCCTCGTGCTAGATTGTTAAGTTCCACTAGAGCAGGGATTTTTGTTACTTTTCACTCTTGAATTCTACATACTTCTAATGGTCTTCCAAACAGTAGGAGCTCAACAAATGTTTGTTGGATAAATGAAATAGCCCACCAAAAAGACTAAGGCCTGACATAGTACTTCACAGGATTGTTGTGAGGGTTAAAATCTATGTCTGTATACCTCTTAGAAATTTGTGGGCATATAGAAAGCTATCAAAAAATGCTAGCTATTAAATCTACAGACTTATATTGAAGTATATATGTTTCCCTATACACTTGCCAACATCATAGTATAATATGATCTTCTAAATATTTGTGATTAGGAAAGTTGAAAAATGCCTCATAGTTTTAAATATGATTTTGGTGATAACAGTGAAGTCTGTTATATTTTCGTGTATTTATTGGTCATTTAGATATCCTTTTTTATCAATTGCCTGCTTGTACTTTTATTTTTCTTTGTAGGTTTTATTTCATTATATGTATTTTTATATCTTTTAGAATCCTGGTTTTGACTTCAGTGGAGCAGAAATCTCAGGAAACTACACTAAAGGTGGACCAGATTTCTCAAACCTTGAGAAATAACTGCTTTTTCACCTCCATTCTGTGGATCCTAGTAGATATTGCCAGTTTAATCAGAGGAACAGATTATGTGATGGAAGAAAAATGGGGATGCCTACAGTTAACAAATTACAAAATATATTTAAAAATGGTTCTAAAAATTGCATTGAAACATGATTTATGTAGGAAACATACTGTGGGAACTATTCTGTGGATTTATGGTAAATTTTTTTGGACTTGTTTTTGCTCAGCATGGAGTTTTATATGCTGCATTTTCCTAATTCCATATTTAACCATATTTTTAATACAAAAGAACATTGGAGTATCATGTGTAATGAAGGGTGCCTTCAGGGAAAATTAACTTTTTCTTTTGATAAATACAGTATTCAATAAAATTTTCTAAATAGGAATTGTGTATCCCTTTGCCTAAGTACAACAGTTCACAGAAAAAAAGTATAGTGCTAAAAACAATTATAAGAAAGGAAAAAGTACATAAATGTATTTTAAGTAAAGTAAGAGTTAATGAAAATTTCTTAATTAGAATATTATTATTTGAGGAATTACTTTATGTCAAGAAGTTTAAAAATAGTTAAAAGCCTAACAATAGAAGTGGGTTGATACAAAAGAGAAGTACCTAAATGAACATGGTAATTAGGTGAGTCCTTTGTTTGTGGCAGAAAGTGAAGTAAGATCACTAATTGTGTATCACTGGCATCGTTTTGATCTTAAGTGATTTAGGCATATAGGTAGGAATTGTCTGTAGACATTTTATTCAATATCCTATTTATGTCCTTTTTATTTATTTCTTGTCCTTTTAATTCTTGAAAAAATTTTAAATCTTGTTCTTAGAAAAGTTACAATTTCTTTCTGAACCATTTGTGAATTAGTTGAAGACATGTTGCCTCATTACTGATTACTATTTGCTTCAGATTACCTTACATGACTACAATGCAGCCATTAAAATCAGAAAATTTACCTTGACACGTTACTACCCTCTAATCCTCAGACCTTCACTTAATTCATATTGAACTGATTGTCCCAGTAATGTCCATATAGCAAGAGGATCCAGTCAGAGTCATGCCTTCCATTTAGATATTAGCTGTCTTTAGTCTACTTCATTCTGGAACAAGTTCTCATTTTTTCCTTAAGTTTCACAACTTGGTACTTTTGAAGATTACAGGCTAGGTTTGTATAACATCCCTTATTTTGGATTTCGTCTGATACTTCATGATTAAATTCAGGTTATTCATCTTTGGCAGAAATGTGATAGGAGTGCATCCTGTCATGGTTTAATAATTTCAATTTGTCTCATTTCTGACGGATTTTCTTAGATGATTGATTAAGATAGTATCTGCCAGACTTCTTCACTGTAGTTATATTTTTCGAGAAGATAGTTGCAAAATGCTACCTTGTTATCAGACTTTAAATTTATTATATCTGTATATAGACTCATGATTTTCTATTCATTGGGTTAAAAACCTATGCTCAGTACTTCGATGCTCAGAATTATTGTACATTTGGCTGGGATAAGACCATTCTGGGTGGCCTCTGTGACCTTCTGACATCATTGTTCAATCAATTGTTACTATCTGGCATAAGGTATACCAGGCTTCTCATGCGCTCCTTGACTAGCCCAAGAATCAGCCATTTTTCCATAGAGCCTGGGTTCTCTCTAGTGGGTAATATTTAAAAGCCAAGATCTGTGCTAGTGTGCAGTTGCTGTTGGTGTGTATATATAATGCATGTCTTTCCATCTGCATTTTTGTATCTATGTATATTGAAAAGCATGAGTTCACATGTAAATTACAATTTCATGGGCTTCGTTTTCATTTTTTCCCTTTCCATATTTATAACTACCTTTAGTAGCAGTGAGAAACCTGATTTCTATTTGGTTCTCTATTGTAGATCATCTCCCCACATGAATGTCTTCCTCACCCTGCTTAAGCTTTGCATCCTATGCTAAGCAGGAATGTCCTCCTCACCCCGCCTGGACCCTAACACCTCACTCCAGGCCATGGCAGTCCATTCACCCTATGATGCCTGTCTTGCTCATTTTAGGAATGAATTGTTGGGGAAGAGGCTATTTTTCTTTTAATTTGATTCTCTTTGACATTAAAAAAAATTATTTTGAGTAAAGAAAGTAAAATTAACTTTTTTGGTGTTTAGTTTGGTGAATTTTAAGTATAGATATGTGTAAACATCTCCACATCAGGATATTGAAGAGTTCAATCACCATAAAAATTCTGATGCTCTCTCTGTAGTCACACCGTTCTCCCAGCCCCTAAATGGAAACCACTGGTCTAATCCTTGTCTCCATGTTATTGTCTTAAAGCATGTCATAGATGGAATCGTGTAATTTAAAAAAAAAACAGTTTTATTGTAGCAACATACATTTCACCCATTTAAAGTATAATTCAGTAGCTTTTAGTAAATACAGAGATAAATGCAACCATTCCCACAATCAATTTTAGAATGTTTTCATCATCTCAGACAGAAACCTTGTATAGTTTAGCTTTTATCCTTTCTTCATCCCAGGCCATCCATACAACCACTTTTAATCTCATAGATTTTCCTATTCTGGACATTTCACATACATGGAATGATAATATGTGGTCTTTGGTTACTAGCTTCTTTCACTTAACATGTCTTAAGAGGTTTGTATATATTCTAGCATGTATCAGTACATTCATTAGTATGTCTGAATACTTCATTGTATGGCTGTAATCACTTTATACATTTGTAAGTATAACATTTTGGGTATTTCTACTTTTTGGCTGTCATGACTAGAGCTGCTATTAATGTGTACAAGTTTTTATGTGCATATGTGTTTTCGTTTCTTACCTAGGAGTATAATTTTTAGGTTATATGATAACTATGTTAATCATTTGAATACCTGTCAGATTGTTTCCCAAAGCAGCTACATCTTTTGACTTTCCCACCAGCAGTGTAGACAGGTTCTAGTTTCTCTGCATCCTTGTCAATACTTGTTTACCTGACTTTTTTATTTTAGCCATTCTAGTGGATATGAAATTGTATCTCTATGGAGTTTTGGTTTGCTATTTTCTGATGTCTGTGTTGAGCGTTCTTTCTTGTGCTTATTGGCTGTTTGGGTATCTTTCTTGAAGCAGTGTTTATTCAAATCCTTTACCCATTTTTTAGTTGTTGTCTTATTGAGTAGTAAGAGTATATATTCTGAGTACAAGTCCCTTATCGGGTATATGATTTGTAATTTCTCTTATTCTAAAAGGAGAAATTCTCCTATTCTCCTTTTCTTTTGTTGGTAAGTGTCTTCTGAAACACAGACTTAATTTTGAGGAAGTCTTATCCATCATGCCATTGGTGGATCATGTTTTTGGTGTCATGTCTAGGAATCTTAACCCAAGGTCATGAGGAATTTTTATTTTGTGTTTTCTTTTTTTGAGACAGACTCTTGCTCTGTTGCCCATGCTGGAGCACAGTGGCATGATTTCTGCTTACTGCAACCTCTGCCTGCTGGGTTCAAGTGATTTTTGTGCCTTAGCCTCCCAAGTAGCTGGGACTACAGGTGCATACCACCACTCCTTGCTAATTTTTTTTGTAGAAATGGCATTTTACCATATGGGCCGGGCTGGTCTTGAACTCCTGACCTCAAGTGGTCTGGCTGCCTCCGCCTCCACAGGCATAAACCACTGTGCCCAGCCTATAGATTTTTTTCTTCTAAAAGTTTAATAATTTTAAGTTCTATATTTAGAGCTGTGATCCACTTTAATTTTTATGTAAGCTGTGAAATTTAGGTAGGTTTATTTTTTTATTTTTTGCATATGAATGTTCAGTTTTAAAATACTTTGTTGAAAAGTTGTATATTCCCCATTGAGTTGTCATTTCACCGTTGCCAAAAATCAGTTGTTATTTATGTGAGTCTGGTTTTGGACTCTATTCTATTGATCTATGTGTTTATCCTTTCATAAATACCACACTGCCTTGATTATCATAGTTTTATAGTAAGTCTTAAAACTGGGCAGCATGATTTCTTCAACTTTATTCTTTTTCAGAATTGTTTTGGCTAATTTAGTTTCTTTCCCCTCCATATGAAGTTTGAAATTAGCTACTCTGTATCTACCAAAAATCCTACTGGGGTTTTGAATGCAATTTTATGAGTCTTCCACAACCCATGAACATGAGGTATCTATATAGGACCTCTTTGATTTCAGTCATCAGCATGTTCTGTTGTTTTCAGCCTATATGCCACACTGTTCATTTTGGGGAACTATTGTTAGTTGTATTATTTTTGAAACGTGGGGATCTAATTGCATATTGCTAGTATATACAAATATGTTTGATTGTTTGTTGACCTTGTATCCTGTGTCCTTGCTAAACTTTGTTTTGGGAGTTATTTTGTTGTTAACTCATTAAGTTGTCTACATAAACTACAAATTGGAACAGTTTTATTTTATCCTTTTTAGTCTGTAGGCGTGTGATTTTTGTTGCCTGACTGCAGTGGCCAGAACAATAAAGTGGAGAAAGTGGCCATCCCAGTCTTGTTCTGGATCTTAGGATTTTGAAAGCATTGTCTTTGACCATTAAGTATGCAAGCTGTATAGTCTTTTCATCAATTCCCTTTGTCATGTTGGGCAAGTTCCTATCCATTAATTTGTTAGCAGTTTCATGAGTGGATGTTGAATTTTCTGTAATCTTTCTGTATCGATTTGGTCTTTTTTTTTTTTTCCTCTTTGGACTGTTACTATGATGGATTTTATGCTGGGCACAGTGGCTCACTCCTGTAATCCCAGCACTTTGGGAGGCCGAGGCGGGTGGATCACAAGGTCAAGAGATCGAGACCATCCTGGTCAACATGGTGAAACCCCGTCTCTACTAAAAATACAAAAAATTAGCTGGACCTGGTGGCGCGTGTCTGTAATCCCAGCTACTCAGGAGGCTGAGGCAGGAGTATTGCCTGAACCCAGGAGGCGGTTGCGGTGAGCCAAGATTGCACCATTGCACTTCAGCCTGGGTAACGAGCGAAACTCCGTCTCAAAAAAAAAAAAAAAAAAAAAGATGGATTTTATTGATTCCAGAATTTTGAAACAGCTTATTTTTTCCTCCCAATCCCAAACTTGGTCATGGTACATTATTCACCTTATATATTTTATTTGTTGAGGAATTTTATGTCTGTTCATTTTGGATATTGTGCAGTTGTTTTTGGGCTTTTTTCCCCCTTGTATTATCTTTATCTTGGTATGGTATCATGTTAATTCTGGTCTTATAAAATGAATTGACAAGTGATTATTATTTCTGTAAGAGATTTGTAGAATTTGTGTTAAATCTTCAAATGTTTTATGAATTTGCTAGTAAGGTTTTAAACAATTCAGTTTTTAAAGAGAATTTATTGAGGTTTTAGTTAGGTTTTGGTAGTGTGTACCTTTCAAAGAATTGGTTCATTTCATCTAATCCTATGTGCATAGTTGTTCATGGTATTTTCTTTCTGTCCTGTGTCCTAATGAGAATCTATACTGTTATCTCTTCTTTGATTCTGAAGATTAGCAATTTCTCTGTCAGTATTGCTAGAGATTATCAATTTTACTGCTCTTTTCCAAGAACTAGTTTTTGGTTTTGATTGTTCTCTATCAGTTTGTTTACAATTGCATTGCTTTTCTGCCTCTTTTTTCTGCTTGCTTTAGGTTTAGTTTGGGTTTTTTTCTTTTTTTTTTTTTTTGTAGACAGGTCTCACTTCATCACCCAGGCTGGAGTAGTGTTGTGATCATAGCTCACTGCAGCCTCAAACCCATGGGATCATGAGCCTCCTACCTCAGCCTTCTGAGTAGCTGGGACTATAGTGCTGTGCCACCACACCCCATTAAATTTTCCTAGTTTCTTAAAAGTAGTAGCTTATTGATTCGTGACCTTTTTCTTCTAATTTAGTAAAAAGCAGTTGGTTGATATAAATTGCAGCACCAGTATGGCTGCATTCCAAGCATTGTGATATTTTAAAATATTTAAATATTTAGTTTAAAATATTTTTTGGGACTTCCCTGTAGAATCATGAATTATTTAGAAATGTGTTGTTTAATTTCCAAGAGTTTGGAGGTTTTCTTGCTGTTACTGATTTCTAGATGATGGTCAAAACATACTTTGTATGATTTTATCGCTTTTAAATTTGTTAAGGTTTAAGACCCATGATGTGGTGGTATATCTTGTGAGTGTTCCATGTGTACTTGAAAAGAATGCTTATTCTGCATCTTTGCTAATTTTCTATTAATTCTGTAGACTACTGAGAGAGGAATGTTTTAAGTCTCCAACTGTAAATGAAGTTTTGTCCAGTCCTTTTTTTAATGTTATCACTTTTGCTTCGTGTTTTGTTTTGTTTATCACTCAGGCTGGTGCGTAGTGGCTCTCATGCTTCACTGCAGCCTCAAACTCCTGGGCTCAGTCTTTTCACCTGAGCCTCCTCAGTAGCTAGGACTACAAATGTACATCACCACGCCCAGCTAATTTTAAAATTTTTTGGTAGAGATAGGGTCTCCCTATGTCTTGGCCTCAAACAATCCTCCTACCTTGGCTTCCCAAAGCGCTGGAATTATAGGCATGAATGAGCCTCTGCACCTGGCCTCTTCATGTATTTTTATCATTATATGTCCCTTGGCAATTTTAATTGCTACTGTTCTTTGATGAATTAATATAAAAGGCTTATCTTTTTATTTTTTGGGACAGAGTCTCACTCTGTTGTCCAGGTTGCAGTGCAGTGGCATGTTCTTGTCTCACTGCAATCTTTCCGCCTTCCATGTTCAAGCAATTCTCCTGTCTCAGCCTCTCAGTAACTGGGACTACAGGTGTGTGACATCACACCTGGCTGATTTTTGTATTTACAGTAGAGACAGGTTTTACCGTGTTGTTCAGGCTGGTCTCGAACTTGTGGCCTCAAGTGATCCACCCACCTGGGACTCCCAAAGTGCTAGGATTACAGGCATGAGCCACTATGCCCATGTCCGGCATAAAAAATAGGCTTATTTTTTAATTCATCTTATTTGATTCACATTTACTGTTTCTGGTTTCTGAAAAAATAGGTTTCACACTTAAAATTTTATCAATGTTATTCTATTAGTATAAAGAAATAAATTCTGAGTGTTATTCTATGATCATGGTGATAGCACAGAAGTTAATGTGGCCAGAATTTAGTTTTGATTGGAAACTATACAAGCCATTTCACTTGAGTCCAATTAATCTTCTATTTCCAGAGGTAATGTACACAGTGGTTAAGAGCACAGCCTCTGGAGTCAGAACTGCCTGGCTTTGAATCTTACCTCCCAAGTACCAGGTATAGATCAGGGGCAAGTCATTTAGCTTCTCTGTCTCTCTAGCTCATTTGCAAATTGGGATAACCTCATTCAGTTGAGAGGATTATATGGGATAATTCATAGTACCAGACAGTAAAAATTATCATTGCCAGCCACAAATGTCAGATTGAAAATATATATTGTTTTTAGATAGGATGTCTCAAAATTGGAAATATGTACAAGGTTCAGATACCTTTTAAAAAAAGTACTATGAAAAGTTACCAAATAAGTCTAAGGGAAGTCAATTATAAAAGAACAAATTGTTCTTTTATGAATAATTTGTCTTTCATCAGTAACTCCTTGCAATGTCCACTTTACGTCTTATTAGGTCTGGTTGTGGTGGCTCACGCCTGCAGTCCCAGCACTTTGGGAGGCCAAGGCAGGCAAATCAAGAGATTGAGACCATCCTGGCCAACATGGTGAAACTCCATCTCTACTAAAAACACAGAAATTAGCTGGGAGTGGTGGCGTGTGCCTGTAGTCCCAGCTACTCAGGAGGCTGAGGCAGGAGAATCGCATAAATCCAGAGGTTGCAGTGAGCCGAGATTATGCCACTGCACTCCAGCCCAGTGACAGAGCAAACTCTATTTCAAAAAAAAAGTCTTGTTAGTTTGAACATGAACAGTTCAAAATCATATTTATTGCTTCGGTTCCAATAAGAATTACAATTGATCCAAGCAGGGCAACATAACACATTGTGGTTACCTGGCATTAGCAACCACACTGTTGAAATGCTGTTTAATTAGCTTAAGAGAGCTTGCATAAAACTTCAAGTGGGCTGAAACTAAGTAAATATGTATTAAGGATAGCATCCATAGCAGTGATGAATCTAAGTGATAAAAGAGATTAATACTACATAAACACCAACTTTTAATGCACAATAAACAATTATTTGTCATCACTCTATGTCTATGAAAAAAAAACACTAGAGGCCAGGTGCGGTGGCTCATGCCCATAATCCCAGCACTGGGAGAACGAGGCAGTCAGATCACTTGAGCCCAGGAGTTTAAGATCAGCCTGAACAACATAGTGACACCCCCGTCTCTTTAAAAAAAAAAAAAAAAAAAACCACCAGGTTCCAGGGCATGTATGTGTAACCCTAACTATTTCAGAAACTGATATGGGAGGATCTCTTGAGCCTGGGCTGCCGAGGCTGCAGTGACCCAAGATCACGCCACTGTACTCCAGCCTGACTGACAAGAGTGACCTTGTCTAAGAAAAAAAAAAAAAAGTATCAGCTAATACTCATCCTATTTTTAATAGGGATTTTATTGTTTCTGGTACTATGCATCTAACTTTAGTACTAAATTTAAACATAGTACAGATAGCTTTTTATAATGTTCTGCTACCACATTGCCAAAACATAATTAAATCAGAAACAAAAACCACCCAGCAAAGGATTGCATTTCAGTAACTTTATTGAAAGGTATATCCCTTAGTACTAAAACATAATGGTAGTTGGTTAGTTTACTTCTGCCAACTCAAAATTAACAAGGACATATTCAAAATATTGAAATTTATCAGCCTTTTGGGAAAACTAAAAAGTTACCCATAAAACATGGTTTATAAAAGTTAAGATATACTGTGGTTCTTTGGTTTTTCATTGTGTATTGATCATAACATGATGTCAAATTGGTTACAGCCATTCTGGATGGACCTAGGCTATACATTGCACTGAGTAACTGTTTACAACACTTTAACACTGTACTTCTTACATTCACTGACATGGAGAATCCTACACACTACCTCAGCAGCCTCATTCATAGTTATGAAGGTGTCTACTTGCTTTTCTTAAGACTTTGTTTCAGCACAGTAAGGGCATCAGTGGAAGTATATTCTCTTTTTATAAAACTGCCATCATTTCTAATTTAAAAACAGTCTTTAGTAAAAAAAAACTTCTGGAATGTTGAATCTAGCCTGAACTTACCTTGGTGTGGGAAAGCAAATTTTCGAAGTGATAATTTATTCTGAGTTACTAATACAATAGAAACTACTTTTCTTGATGGGATTCAGTTTGAGGCAGTAGGTTCTGTATAAAAATTTTATCGTAGATACAAATGTCACCTGTTTTCTAGAAAAAAATATTAAAGATACCTTAATGAATATGACCAACTTTCTAGGTCTGTATTTTTCTTTATATAAAATGCCCTCAAATTTAAATGTAATTCCCATATAGCAATCAAGTCCACATTTCTGGATTATCTATTACTTGCATTATGGGGTGTGTTTATACTGCCTAGAATGTTAACCCTTATTATGCCTTAAAGGTGCATTTGTGAAATGTTGCTTTTGACGTAAACTTCATAACTTAAAATTTAATATTTAAATTAAGTAGGAGTAGGATTAGAATAATGAAAGTGATTAAAGCTGTGGGAAGACATAGTTGATGGTATTAGTGTGGCTCCTCAAATACCATTTTCAATATCACCTAAAGATAATGATCTAATATCTAAAATTAGATCAATGATAGAAATGAAGATTCACAGTTTACCTTCTCAGGCTATTTCACATTTAGGCTTTTAGCTTTGATTTGAATGCTTCACAGATGAATTCAAATCTAAACATAATTCCACTACAGCATAACATTAATTAGGCAGTTTTCTAAAGTCTGAGACCATCATGCTTATCTCGTGTTTTGAGGCTTCGTAGCTTAAATCCATTGTAACATTATGGAATCCATAGAACAAGGTTGCGGAGAAAGGCTTCAGAGTAGGTTTTTGGTGCTGTCATAATCCTATTTAAATAAAGAAAACAAAATCCAACTTAACATAAGGCAGTCTGCCTAAAAACTAAGAAAACTGAAATGTTCATATCTAGTGTTTGTAATCATATGTAGATGTATTAAATGTTAACATTTAGTTTTGAGTAGAATAAGATAAATCATCACTGAGTTAGGAAATTAAAATGGCAAGAATGGATATCACATATGCGAAAAGCAAGTCGACATTTTTAATGCAAAGAACTACTTTTTAGTAGTCCAGCTGCTACAGCAATGATAGGTTACTATAGTGTTGACACACCCTGGCAGTTTCCAGATACCTAATGTAGAGACCATCTATCATAGCCTACTTTTTCTTTAAGTACAATATCCAAGTTCATACTGACTTTACTTATAAGCTAACAGTCTCAAATTAGTTCATACATGCTTCAGACTTCTGGTGCTGTTGTCTTGCTTAGCTTATGTAATTTTAAATAAGTCAGAGTTTTGGTCTACATACAGCAAGATCGTGTGCAATTAAAAAAAAAGCATGATTTTATTGCTACAAAGATGCTGTTCTCTAAGCTGAAAATTTAATGGAACAGCTAATGTATGTATCAGAGGTTGGATAATTCCTTACTCCTAAGGTGGTGTACCTGTATATAGTAAAGGCCTTTAAATATTAGCTGACTAGATCAGCGATGTCATTTTCCCCTTTACTATTCCAACTCCATTTTGTTTATTTTGAAGATAGTTACTATTCTTTAGTTGAAGAAAATTATGGCATTGGAAAATTTTCTTTATCTGAATTTGCCAATTAAGAAAAACATTTACCAATTAAGGAACCATTTCAGGAATTGTTGGAAGGTGAGTTATTCTGTAGTAACTATGCTTCAATTGCCGTGCAGTACGCCCAGAAACAATCCATTTCAACTTCTGAACATTTGGTTTGGAACACTTGTTTGATGAATATTCAGTTAAACACTTGGATACAAGCTCTTGCCAGAAGGTCAAATCTCTGCCATTTATCTGTACATAAATTAAAAAAAATTATTATTCAAAGTACATCCCACCTTATTTAACTACATTAATAAATGCAATCCTATGAACATGTGTCTTTGCTCATTAAAAAAATGTTAGGATAGCTACTTAAGTTTCAAATAAACACATGACATCTCATTTTACTTCAGGAGGTTTAGTTTCTTTTACAGCTGTTATGTTAATAGGATTTAGGCTATGTCTTTGACATACCTTGGAATGTTTCTGAAGACATTCTACTCCTTCTGTTAACTCTACACACTTCTGTGCTTGGATCTCTAATGCAATGATAGACAATGCCAACACAGAAGGCTAAAAGAGAGACATTTAAAGTAAATGCCAAATATAAAAACAAGTCACATAAATAAGTGTAATCTTTATCAAATATTTACCTTTGCTTTAGAAAAAATGATCCTGCAATGACATGCCTTAAGTTGAGCTTCTAATCTTTCAAAATTAATGCTATTTCTCCTTTAAAAAGAAAATGGTTTTGTTTTTATTAGGTAATACTACATGTAGTCAAAAGATATTTTTAGAAAAACATTGATGTCAATTTCTAAAGTGAAGCTTACATATATTTATCATACCAAGTGAACTATTTGAAGGAATTCCCCTTCCATCAGAGATATTAACTTCTTAAGGGTACCATATGGCTGTTTTAAATAATTTCAGCCTAAAAATTAAAATGAACAGTACTATGCCACAAATATAAAGATTTATTTTCTTTTAGTTTTTTTTTTTTTTTTTTTTTTTAACCTGCAACTGTCTATTGTATAACTCGATATTTTAGTCTTTTTTTTTAGACGGAGTTTCGCTCTTGTCACCCAGGCTGGAGTGCAATGGCGCGATCTCAGCTCACCACAACCTCCGCCTCCTGGGTTCAGGCAATTCTCCTGCCTCAGCCTCCTGAGTAGCTGAGATTACAGGCACGCGCCACCATGCCCAGCTAATTTTTTGTATTTAGTAGAGGGTTTCACCATGTTGACCAGGACGGTCTTGATCTCTTGATCTCGCGATCCACCACGTCAGCCTCCCAAAGTGCTGGGATTACAGGCTTGAGCCACCGCACCCGGCCTGATCTTTTAGTTTTAATAAATATTTCAATATCTATTGAAGGTCCTTTTTTCCATATATTTGTGTTAGATGCTTTTCTACTAGATTCTATAAAAGTTGAAATGTACTTTAATCCCAAGAATTAGCTTTAATGAAGCTACTGACGATGGAACATTTTCCCACTTATGCTGGACATTAAAGTTCAAGGAGCCACAGCTGTCATTTTACTTATTTTTGTTAGAATTCTATGACAATACTGATTTTATGCAATATCCATACAATACCATTCTGATTTCCTAATCTGTCTTGTTCAAAACAAAGGGCACTTACCTCTCAAATGGCAAGTTCTCTTGAAGGAGTGAATAATACAGTTGCAGAAATTGAAAGGCAGTAGTAGCTTTGACTTTCCAGCACACCTTCTCCAATACAATCTTTTCCATTCGCATCAAGTCTGAAACCGTAAACCTGTATTGACTTATTCGGATTAAGTCAGTTGCCAATGGGACATTCCTTTCCTCTTCTATTGATTTTACAGCCAAATAGAAGCAGCTCAGTCCAACACATCCAAGGTGTTTGGGCTGTACCTAAAATAAACAAAACCAGTAAGTCCATGACTCTACTTTATTTCAATTAAAACATAAAGGATAACCTAGAACTGAGACCCAAATTTAAAATGCATATTTGAGGTTTATTTCTCAGCTGTGATGAACTTAACACAATCCACTCATACCTAAAATATAGCCTGTCAACATTATGGACCCTACTTGGAGCCAATTTTTGACTGATTGGACTGAGTTTCACTATAATGTTTGGTTCAGCATAGAAAAATTGTATGTGTGTGTTTTTTTAATCACTGTAAAAATACAAGTAAACATTGTTATAGTTTGACCAAATAAGTTAACTTGTCAAAGACATAGGACTGAAATACTTTATGGCTATAAGAAAATAAGCCATTTCTTTCCAGGATGTTGGATTTTTTCCAGGCTCCTGTTTTTGTAGGAACACATATAAAACAGTTTTAAAATACTGTAACATATACTGTTTACTCTGCCTGTAAAGTTCTATTCACTAACTAATCTTTATCACTTAGTATTGTGAATGTCTGCAGTATGAGGCACAGTCAAAACTTTACCCAGTCGTTTACCTCCAGTTTAAATGAAACTAAGTTTTTACCAGTATTACTATCTCTGTGTTCTCTCTTTTCTTGTAACCTCTTCAGCAGTACACTTATGTCTCTTTAAAGGCATAATGTAGTTATTTTTCTTATTATGACTTGTACATAAGAGCAATGATCTTATTCTCACATAAGAGTGAATTATACCTGAGGGACAGCTGTATATTATTCATTTGTGCAACATTTACAGAATCAAAGATAGTGCCTACACATATGAAACGTCTAAAGAGTTTAATTAGTCTGTTGAACACATTTCTTGAATCTTCAACAAATACTTAAGTCCTTCTTCATGATGCACTGTGTTAGATACCAAGGACTAAAATATGAGTTTCCTTGTAATTGTCACATCATCTTAATTTCCTCCAGTACGGTGTACAGGAAAGGCAGATGCATTTGTAACAGTTAAACTCTGAAAGCTACATAGTCTTATTTATCTGGGATAGTTGTTCTTCCTGCAGATACACTCTCCTCTCTAATGCATGTACACTGAAGCTGGAAATACCAAGCATAACCAAGTCTTGACTAGGTCTAAGACTAAAACATTTACAATCTTATTTATGGGTAGTGATCAAAAAATATATCTTAATTCTTAGCCACAATCTAGCCTTTAATAAATTTTTGCCACTAATAATTTCTAAAAATGGTAAATAAGTGGACAAATCCAACCTATCAAGAAGGGTTTTTAAAAAAAAAAAACAGCCAACTTTCTTACCAGGAAACTGCAATTAGTTACTTGATACTAGACTTTTTCATTTCAGTATTTAAGTCTAATACTTGATGTACTACTCTTGATTATGATAAGAAATCCTATTAATGCCGTAGTAGACAAAAACTAATGTTGTGGCTATTTGCTGAAAATAAAAAAGATCAAGTTTATGAATACCAGCTAAAAGGTAACAAGTCCATCTCCAAAACAACACACTGAGCAAAATTAAAAAAGGTGTAGCTTCAAACATACCTTCATTTTAGACAGGAATCTGTCCAGTAAATTCACAGCTAGAGAAAATGTCTCTGTGTCGAAGCCAAAGAACTGAGTTAGACTAAGAAGATCTTTTACTTCAAAGTCCCTTAGTCTTGCAGTCATTCTGAGGCCATTATCGTGTGCAGACTCAATTAGTCTCAAGCCACAGACCTTTGGCTGACATCTAGACTCCTGTTCCAAAAGGGCATTCAGCTGCTGTAGCAGTTTCTGAGAGTCAGTTGTTGTGAGTACCTCAATCATCTATATATAGAAAAAAAGACCAGAAAGGAGTGTGAGAGTAGTCCTTCCTGCTTTCCTTGGCCATCTTTGTACTGGGCCAAGAAGTGATTTATAAGTCTCCCATCCCCCAATGCGGCTAGTGCATCTAAGTCATTGCAAAATGCCATCTGTTATTTCCCTTCAACAAGTTGGTCACAACCTAAATCGAGTTCCTAGAGGGAGGGAACCATGCTTGTGAGAAAAAATAAAACGCAAATCTTCAAGAAATACTTGTTCGAGTTATTTATTGTCAACAGATAACCATGAATAGTCACCGTAAGACAAGATATAGAAACTGAAAAGCAAATAGTAGTAAGTATTCTACCATTTATTAACAACATCAATTGTTCAAGTTACTTAATAATTGTACTTAGTTCCTCATTTATGAAGTAGGGATAAGGTTTATGACCTACCTCACAGATTTGTGTGAATTGAATGAAATCACGTAAAGAGCTTAGCACGTTATGGCAGGTTCTTAAAAAACACTGAACAATAATGATGAGCTTGAGCTTATTTCTAGATTTATAAAATGAGGGTAACAATAACTGTGGCTGAATGTGAAGCTTGAATAAGATTATTCACTACTTAGAGTACAGCACAGTTCTTGGCACACAATACTCAGTATTAACTAGTTAGGAAAGGAAACTTAAAAGGTGACTTTAGGAGGACGTATTGGGGCGGGGGTGCTAACGTAGTCTGAAAGGTGAACCTGGGAATTCCACTGATTTAATTATGCATAACACAACCTTGTCCCGGGCAGAAGCTAAGCCCTGGTTACAAGGAAAATCCCTCGCCACACCAACTTAAAGAGAGGAAGGCAAAAGGTCTTCCGAGTTGGTCGTGTGAGGAACCTCTAACTGCAGGGGTTCCATTCTTTCTCCCCTGACTATTCCCTGGGGCCGGGCCGAGAGACAGTGAGGCACCTCTGGAGGCCGGATCCGGCTCCGCCCCTCCAGCCGCGGACAAGCCTGGGCTTGTGCTCAAAGCAGCGGTAGAGTTAACTGCGGAAAAGGGCGCGGGCCAGACCTACTCCGCGCCCCGCGCCTCCAACCCAGCTCCCTGCGCCCCCAATCCCACTCCCCAACAGCACCTGGCAGTCAACACCCCCGCAGTCCCACTTACCTCGACAGCGACTGCAGCTCCTCAGCGGTAACCACCCTCCCCGGGCCTGCTCACCTCACCCCACGATATCAGATCCGAGTGACCTACGAGGAGAGGGGACTCGCAGGAAAGAGGAGAGAGGCCCGGGGAGGGGGACTGTCCAGGGTGGAGGTCTCGGCAACGCCGCCGAGACAACTCGGCCCAGATCAGGGTCAGCTCGGAGCCGAAGGGGCCGCGTCGGCTCTGCAGAGAAATATATTGGAGGGCGGAGCTTTCTCGCGAGAAGGGGGTATTTTCGTCGCTGATTGGTGTAATTCTTTTGATGGATGGCTTCCGCGATCCGTAAACGGCTGGGCGATGGAATAAGAAACCTGGCCAATCAGTTCACACTTCCCGTTATCTGGCGTCAAATTCCCCGCCCCCTTCCCCGCCTCTACCTCTAAGCGTCTCTCACTGGAGAATTTTCCAAAGCGTCTTCATTCACAGGCGGGCGGAATTAAATACTCTGCATCAACCCTTGCCTGGGTCAGGTCAAACGTCTGTCAGCCGATTGGCCGGGGTTTTGTTCCAGAATGTACTGTTTGTTCTGTGGGGTTTAGAAGCTGTACAGCGGTTCTGCCCCGTCTTTCTAAAAATACAGTGAGTAGTTAAAAAAGAAAAAGTCAGGCTTTGATTTTTCATTACAGATAAAGAGGTGGTGGAATTTCTGTGATGTGGTTTATCAACTTCCAGAATGCTCTCTTCGTGAACTTTGGAAGACAGTTGATCCTTGCCTTAGTTTGCTTTTTGTACAATTTATCAAATAATGGAGTTGGACTGTGTAATGTCTTGACCCTGTATCAATTTTCTGAATTTGCTTAAGCAAATTCAGGTCCATTAGTAAAAGGGCCTGAAAAACGGTGCACAAGAAGTCAGTTCTAAACTCTTATGGATTACACAGTAGTTGCATATCTCTGTTCTCATGGCCCCAGTTCAGTTTCTCTTGCTTTGAAAAATGAAAATTTGGAAGGTTTGCTGTCACCTCTGCTGTTTGCCCTGCCCTGTACTTACCTAAGGCAATGCTACAGAACAAAGCTCTGGAAAGTGGGGAAAGGGGTGGGGAGGAAAGGGGAAGGAAAAACCAGAGAAAACATTGATACTTCACAATAATACCTCAGCCACATAATCAGGTCAGTTTGAGAAACGGGCTGAAATGGGGAAGAGGCCTTGGTTCCTCTTGAAAATAAGCTTACTTAGTGAATATAAATTGGCAATTTATAACCTTTAACAAGTCATTTATTGCAAAAAATACTTTTTGCTATAATGTGTAAGTTTATAGATGCAGTTTTTCCTTTTGGCTTTTAGTTCCTATTATTCCTAATTCCTAAAATTAGGAATGTATATGCACAATTTTTAAAAAATGGCTAACGAATCATAAAATCTTTATGGCAGGCGGGGAGCAGTGGCTCACACCTGTAATCTCGGCACTTTGGGAGGCCAAGGCAGGCGGATCACCTGAGATCCGGAGTTTGAGACCAACCTGGCCAACATGGTAAAACCCTGTCTCTACTAAAAATACAAAAATTAGCCAGGTGTGGTGGCCACACAGCTGTAATCCCCACTACTCAGGAGGCTGACACAGGAGAATTGCTTGAACCCACGCAGAGGTTGCAGTGCCACTGTACTCCAGCCTGAGCAACAAATAAGACTCCATCTCAAAAAAAAAAAATCTTTATGGTTGGGAAAAGTATGCATAAATTCACTAATGTTTATTGAACATATAGCATAGTCCAGTGGAGAACAAACTAGACTGGTACCTGTCCTTGTAGAACATGTAATCTGTGGGCAATATAAACACATAGATTTTAGAATGAAATAAACTTATTTTCATCTCCAGGAATAGCTAATAACTAGTTATGTGACTTTCAGCAAGTTATTTAATCACATTTTCTTTTCTCAACAATAGGAAGTAAAAATACATTATTCATGGGGTTATGAAGAGGATTAAATAACAGAAAGCGCATAGTCATTATGATCACAGTAGATTTCTTGATAAATGGTAGCCCTTGACTATTTCTTTTGAAATTTCTTAGTTAATCACACTTCGATTGTGTTTTCTCTGTTGTCAGACTTAGTCCTCTGTTTTCAAGCTAGAAGGATAATCAGAGTATTAGAATTGTTTGTTTAACATTGATAAAAGTATCTAAATTGCAGGTATTAATTTCTACACCTTTTTAGACATGAAATTTTCACTTGACGGCTTCTAGGTAATATATCATTGTTTATGTAATAAGAATATTTTATTTCACATTATAATATTTTACTTTTTATTAAAATCTCAAATTTCTTACATAAAAAATTATTTCACTAGTACTGGAGAGATATTAATTACATATAAATCAAGTCAAATTGATATTCTTTACTTTTCTTCCTCCCCAACCCCATCTGCCATTTTCATTTCAAAATGTTAGAATATAGACCATCATTTAAATAATTGAAAAGACAGAATTAACAAAATATGGACGTGTAATACTCAATTATCCACTCTTATGAAATAGAGATAATGAGCCCTTCATTAACTATGATTTTATTTTTAAAGAAGTGTGGATTTAATCATGAATTCCTATTAAAAATTTGTTAAACGACTGACTTCTGGGGGTATAGTCTAGGCTCAATGATGTATTCAATTCCTATCCTCACACTTTCTTCTCCATAACAGTTAAGTACAACGAGAACTAATGTGCAGAATAATGGCCTCGAGGCTGGGCAAGAATCCAGGCAGTAACTGAAAGATTTAATCATATTCTCCACATGGTAGACTGTAGACATGCCTTTGAACACCAAAGATTATAACAAGCAGGTATAAAACAATGGCGGTGTGTCAAACACTGCCCTGACTCACAGGGAAATTCCTCGTTGGCTTTGTTTGTTTCCGTCTTGGAGGTGTGGGAGTCTGTGGCCTGCACACACAATATCCAATCACCTTTCCCTTTCTTCAGGCTCCCTGAGAAATGTTCAGTACTTTTGTGTGTAGCCTTATCCAACTATGATAAGGGCCAAGGAAGTAAGGGTCAAAAAGATCTCAGCTGAGTCTCCTTCTACTTTCTGATCCTTCCTGTAACTACACATTTACAGCCTCCTCCACTTCTCTAGCTATTCTGTGGTGCATCTAGTCTGACTTACTTATTTGAAGATAACTTGTTTGGCAGTGACTTCTTTGATTCTTTATTAGCTCCTGGGATACCAGGGAAATTAAATATGGCTGGGAGGAGACGGAGAGAGAAACATACATTGAAAACCAGATTAAGAATTGCATGTATATCCTTCTGCTCAGATTCTAGCTACCTCTTCTATACTCAGATAAAATAACCCCTTCCAATTAATTGAGGTTTTACTATATATTCCATGAAAAACTAAATTTTTGACTTGTTCAGTAACCACTGCTATATAAAGGCACTGGGTGACATTAGAGGGGGATCCTCTCTTCTCTAATGGCTTTATTTAGACTCCGTTGATTAAAGCTCAAAGCCAAGACCAGCCAATAACGTAGGATACAGGGTTTGCATTTATCATATATCTCCCATGTGCCAGGCCATTGTGCAGAACTTAAACACACATGCCTTTGACAACTCTGATATTATTATTATCTTCAGAAATGTGGGATATTTTACATATCTCATGTTTAGTAACTATTTACTATTTATTAAATGTACATGTAACTTGAATTTGGATTTTACTGCATTTTTTAAAAAAAGTTTCTATTTCAGAACATTTCAAACTCATTACCCAGCTTCAGTAATCAACATTTTGCCCATGCTGATGATTTACTTTGTTTGTCCATCAGCAAGTATTTCTTGAGAACTTCCACACCATGGTATTTTGTAATCCCAGATGAAAAAATGCTACAGCTTTTGTGCCATAGGGTGTGTTGGCTACTGTTCTCTGTGAAGGTAAGAGAGCAGAAGGATCAGCTGGGTAATTATCCTTCAGCTGATATTTATCAGCTGATAGAATTATCAGAAGCCAGCACTGCTGGTGTTTTAGTTGTCTCCTGCTTTGGAAGGAGAAGGAATGGGAAGGGGAGAACAATTTCCTTTCTTATCCAGGTTTCTGCCTAGGCTGCTAACCTTCCTCCCACAAATGCAAACACACACACACCATGTACCCAAAAACGTTTTGGCGGAGTTGAGAATTGGAAAATGAAATACTGCACGTAAGGCCTTTCTTGTTTCAGGTTACTACTTTCGTTTTCTTTCTAGCCTTTTAACTCTTTTATCCCCCTCTCTGATTTCGCCAACTCTTTGCTCTTTGCTCTCCCTCAACCTCAGTTTTCTAATAATTAGTACATCCCAAGGTTGTTTTTCACTGCCTCTGCTGTTGGTGGGGTTAGAGCTTCTCCCTTGCTGCCAGGTTCTATGGCTGGTAGAGGGCAGTGAGGAGCCCTCCCTTGGCATTCCAAGGGTTGGTGAAGGGCATTGCAGACAAAATCAACATTATGTGCAAAGGCACAAGAGAAAGAATGAAATATAGATTACTCTGGCTAAAGTACAGAGGCTGTTGAGGGAGGTGGTTTAGCAGTGAAACTGGGGAGAGAAGCAGTTGCTCTTGTTGAGGGGACATGTATACCATTCTTGAAATGTTGGACTTTGCAGTCTTTGGAGAACCTACCATGGAATTTAAAGAGAACACCACAAGTGGGTATGTGATTTAGGATGACCACTTGGCATCATGGTGAAGATTGGAGAGATGAGCCAAGACTGGAAGCAGGAAGAGCAGTTTAAAGGCCATTTCCTTAACTTAGAAAGAAAACTGAGAAGATTGCAGTGAGCTTTAGCCAGAGTTTGAGTTGGGGTTCTATTTATGTATTTATCAGGGAATACAGAAAAAAGATCATGTTTTCTGGAGGAAAACTTCAGTTCAAGTTATCTAAGGGACTTCCAGGTGGAGGTGTTGAAAAGGCAGCTGGAGAAACATTTGGTGCTACAGATAGCTTTGAGACTAATCATCACTAGGAGGTGATTTGAGTCGTGGAACTAGATCAGTTGGGGAGAGTTGAAGACGATAAATCTGGAGAATCTAAGGAAAAGGAATCTCTAAATGGAATCTAGGAGAAAAGAGAGAGGGAAGAGGGAAATAAGAGAGGCTGTTATAGGAATCAGGAGAAAGTTTCAAGGAGAGAGTGAGCACTGATATCTGGTGCTGCAGAGAGGATAAAACAGTATGAACAAGGAGAGAATATGAAACCAACAAGTAAATAAACCATTCTTGCAAGGAACTTGACTATAAGAGGTAGAGGCAATGGACAGAGGGTGAACATGGTGATGAGAAGGGGAGTTTGCTTTTCAAAGATGAGCTAGCTAGATACGTGCCTATTTAAATGATGTCAGGAAGGAGCCAGCAGGGTAAAGATGTATCTGACTGCTGGAACAGTCTGAGGCCTTATATGACACTGGTCGATTTAATTGACACTAGTCGATTTACACTCAGTCAGCTGTATTGTTATAGAAGCTTCTAGACAAATACAGACTACAGTGGAAGGAAACAACACAAAAGAGCAGAAATTCTATGTATTTAGCATGCTTAAAATTCTCTGAGTAGATGTTAAGAATGATCACAAAATGCTTTATAAATGTTTGTGTTTTCTGTAGCTATTTTATATGCCTGATTTTCAGTATCAAATTGTTCAAAGGGCTCTTCCTGATTTAAAATATTGTCACTTCTAAAGTTTAGGAGCTTTACATCAGTGTCGAAGTAAGAGGAAGAAATAAAAACATGGATTTTATATGCCCTTATGTAGTGAAAATATGATAGGAATAGCACATCAGTTTGTTCAAGCCTTCTTAAAATATCTAGATTTTGTTGGAAGTCACCCATGCATAGATTTAGGTCAAATAGAATAAAATCTTTAGGTACATTGTGGATATTTATATTTTTAATGGAAATATACATTTACATCATGTAATGATAAACACAGTATGTGTTGGTATGAAAATACTTGGAAGTGATAAATAATAGTGCCAAATAACATTGGTGCAGATTTCATAATGAAGTTTTCTGTAATTCCTGGCCTTACAGAAGAACTTTTAATAACTAATAGCAGTGATTTGGTTGAGGCACTAAGGGACTGACTGCAGTCTGGGCCTGTTTCTCTACTTACAAGCTTTCAGCCTCCAGATCTTCATATTTTGAATAACAGTACTACCCAAAAGGTTGTTGTGGGTATCAATTGAGCTGATACATGGAAAAAAGTACATGTAAGTTCTCAATAAATGTCAGATATTATTATTATCTGTAGACATAAGTCATTTTCTGAGAAAGAAATAAATTACCACGCATGGCACTGCTGACATCAATGACTGGGCAATTTTATCAGAGTCTTTGTCCTTACAATAACGTTAGTCTTCATATTGTTCTGACCATAAAGTGGATTGCATCTCCTAAGACCACATAAACTGGGAGAAATAGAAATCAGCCAATAAATATAAACCAATATTTTTTATTTTTCTTTGGTCTTCTGTTTTCCTTAAGTGGAGTAAGGTGATATTGCATTGAGGTTTTGATTTGTGTTTCCCTGATCATTAATGATGTTGAGCATTTTTTCATATGATTGTTGGCCATTTGTGTATCTTAATAATGGTCTATTAATGTCCTTACCCCATTTTTGAAGGGATTGTTTGTTTTTTTCTTACTGATTTGAGTTTGTTGTAGATTTTGGATATTAGTCCTTTGCCAGATGCATAGATTGTGAAAATTTTCTCCTACTCTGTGGGTTTTCTGTTTATTCTGCTTACTGTTCCTTTTGCTGTGCAAAAGCTAGTTAGTTTAATTAGGTCCCAGCTATTTATCTTTGTTTTAATTACATTTATATACTTTTGGTTTGCTTTATATACTTTTGGGTTCCTGGTCATGAAATTCTTGCCTAAGCCAATGTCTAGAAGGATTTTTCCAATGTTATCTTCTAGAATTTTTATAGTTTCAGGTCTTAGGTTTAAGTCCTTAATCTATCTTGAGTTGATTTTTGTATAAGGTGAGAGATGAGGATCCAGTTCCATTCTCCTAATGTGGCTTGCCAATTGTCCCAGCACCATTTGTTGAAAAGGGTGTCCTTTCCCTATTTTATGTTTTTGTTTACATTGTTGAAGATCAGTTGGCTGTAAGTATTTGGGTTTCTGCGTTCTCGATTCTGTTCCATTGGTATATGTGCCTATTTTTATACCTGTTTTGGTGACTATGGCCTTATGGTATAGTTTGAAATCAGAGTGCTAGGATTACAGATGTGAGTCACTACACCTGTTGTTTATTTAAATTTGAATGCTGTATTATTCAGGGTTTTTGTTTGTTTGTTTGTTTTCAGGGGAAAGTGTGAATGCATTCCCCAGCTACCACAAATTATGCAGTTGAGTTTCCCACATCTGGGGAAATTGCAGGAGTCAGCACGTCCAGAGTGCAATGGATAAGCCTCGCCCTGGGAAAACCACCTTTGTGATCATAGTATCTCCCCTGCCAAGTAAGTAATAATCAGGGTTTTTTAGAGAAACAGGACTAATAAAATATAAGTGTATGTATATATGTAAAATGAGAATTGGTTCATATGATTATGGAGGCTAAAATCATATGAACTGCTGTCTGCAAGCTGGAAAGCCAAGAAACCTATCTGAAGGTCTGAGAAACAGGGTGTCTCCCAATCTGAATCTGACGGCCTAAGAACCAAAGATGGGAGGAAAACTGGTGTAAGGCTACAGTCCAAAGACCTGAGAACCAGGAGCTTTCATGTTTGAGGGCAAGAGAAAAATGGATGTTCCACCTCAAGAAGAAAGAATTGTTTCTTCTGCTTTTTTTTCTGTTCAGTCCCTCAGCAGATTAGATGATGCCTACCTGCGTTGGTAGAGCAGATCTTCTTTACTCAGCCTACTGATTCAAATTCTAATTTCTTCCAGAAATACCCTCACAAACACATCAGAAATAACATATATATATGTATATTTTAAAAGATGGGGTTTCACCGTGATGGCCAGGCTGGTCATGAACTCCTGACCTCGGGTGATCCACCCACCTCAGCCTCCCGAAGTACTAGGATTACAGGCATGAGCCACCGCGCCCGGCCTAATTTTTGTATTTTTAGTAGAGATGGGGTTTCACCATGTTGGCCAGGATGGTCTCGATCTCTTGACCTCGTGATCTGCCCACCTCAGCCTCCCAAAGTGCTGGGATTACAGGCTTGAGCTGCTGCGCCCGGCCAGAAATAATATTTTATCAGCTATCTTTGTATTCCTTAGCTCAGTCAAGTTGACACATTAAATTGACCATCACAAATGGCTTTTATTTAATTTTCTTGTCTAATTATTGTTGTTAGGACTATATGGAATATTGAAAGCAGGCATAATTGTCTTTGTTTCTGATATTAGAGAATAAATTTTTAGTCTTTCAACCACTGAATATGATGTCAGCTATGGGTTTTTATTTGTGGTTTGTTATGGTAAAATAATTTTTTAAATTTCTAGTTTGTTGAGTGATTTTATCATGAAAGAATGTTGAGTTTTGTCAAATGCTATTTGCCTCTATTGAGATGATCAAACGGTTTTTTTTTTCCCTTCATTTTGTTAATGGAGCGTATTACATTGATTTTTATGTAATGAACCATCCTGGTATTGATTCTTTTTTAAATGCTTGATAGAATTCACCAGTGATGCCATCTCAGCAAGGACTTTTCTTGTGGAAAGTTTTAAAATTACTTAACATTATAATTAATTATTATAAAGTTATTCAGATTTTATATTTCTTTTTGAGTTAATTTAAAAAGTTTGTATGTTTCTAGAAATTTTTCTGTTTTATCCAAGTTATCTAAGTTGTTAGCCTATAGTTATGAATATTATTTATTTGTAATTCTTTTTATTTTATTGAGGTTGGTTGTAATATCCCTCTTTCCTGATTTTTATAATTTGAATTTTATTTTTTTCTGGCCAATTTAGTTAAAAGTTTGTCTTTTTTTTTTGAGTTGGAGTCTCACTCTGTTGCCCAGGCTGGAGCACAGTGGCATGATCTTGGCTCACTGCAACCTCCACCTCCTGGGTTTAAGTGATTCTCATGCCTCAGCCTCCCGAGTAGCTGGGATTATAGGTGCATACCACCATAACAGGCTAATTTTTGTATTTTTTTAGTTGAAGTGGGGTTTCACCGTGTTGGGCAGGCTGGTCTCCAACTCCTGACCTCAAGTGATCCACCCACCTTGGACTCTCAAAGTGCTGGGAATACAGATGTAAGCCACTGTGCCCAGCCAGGATTTGTCATTTTAGTTCATTTTTGCAAACTTACAATTTTTGTGTTTTAAAAAATTTTTTCTCTGTAAACAAAGTTGCTGGGAAGTTTATACACACACACACACACACACACACACACAATTTTCTCAGTTGTTTTTCTCTTCTCTGTTTTATTTATTTTTATTTTAACTTATTATTTCCATCTTTGGTCTTGCTTTTAGTTTGCTCTTCCTTTTCTAGTTTTTTTAGTTAGAAGATGACATTGTTGAGTGGAGATTTTTTAAAAAAGCATTTAAAGCTATACATTTCTCTCTGAGCACTGCTTTAGTTGCATCTATAAGCTTTGGCATGTGTTTTTTATTTTGATTCATCACATGCTATTTTCCAATTTAAATTTTTTTCCCTGTCCCATTCGTTGTTCGAGAGTTTCTTGTTTATTTTATTTTATTTATTTTTTGAGACAGAGTTTCGCTCTTGTTATCCAGGCTGGAGTGCAATGACACAATCTCGGCTCACCACAACCTCCGCCTCCTGGGTTCAGGCAGTTCTCCTGCCTCAGCCTCCTGAGTAACTGGGATTACAGGCACGCGCCACCATGTCCAGCTAACTTTTTGTATTTTTAGTAGAGACGGGGTTTCACCATGTTGACCAGGATGGTCTTGATCTCTTGATCTCTTGATCTTGTGATCCACCCGCCTCAGCCTCCCAAAGTGCTGGGATTACAGGCTTGAGCCACCGCGTCTGGTGAGAGTTTCTTGTTTAATTTTCAAATATTTTGTAGATGTCTCAAACTTTCTCTCATTGTTATTTTCTAATTTTGTTTCTTTGTAGCTGGAGAATATACTTTGTATGATTTTAATTCCTTTACATTTATTGAGACCTGGCATATGACCTAGTCTATGGTTTATTGTGAAGAATGTTCTATGTGTGCCTTAGAAAAATGTGTACTGGCCAGGTACAGTGGCTCACACTTGTAATCCCAGCATTTTGGGAGGCCATGGCAGAGAATCACTTGAGCACAAGAGTTCGAGACCAGCCTGGGCAGCCTAGCAAGACAACATCTCTCTAAAAATAGTAATAATAATAATAATAAGAATGTGTATTTTGCTGTTGTTGGGTATTCTAGATATATACGTTAGGTCTAGTTCACTGATTGTGTTGATCAAGTCTTCAGTTTCCTGTTAAATCTTCTGCATAATTGTTTTATTCATCATTGAAGGCAGAGTATAAAGTCTCCAGCTTTTATTGTGGCATTGTCTATTTTACCCTGAAATTCCATGAGTTTTTGCTTCATGTATTTTTTTAGATCATTTTAAGGTTCTTTATAGTAACTTTTCATGCAGCATTTTTCCCTGTCATGATTTTTTTGGATGTATTTCTAAACCCCCACATTTTATAATTGGTTTATTTCCAGGGAAATTATGCCGTAATGACAGTATTAAACTAAATAGCAATTAGTAAGGTAAATCATTTGCTATGTCCATTTATTTATTGTTTTGCAATACTTTATTATATTCTATCATTATTGAAGTAAAAAAAGTGTGTATAGGATTTTATATATATATACATGGAATTATATATATATATGTGTATATGGGATTATATGTATATATATGTGTGTGTGTATGTATATATAGAGAGAGTTATGTACCAAGGGGTGTGGTGTGTGTGTGTGTGTGTGTGTATAGTTATATACCAAGGGGTGTGGTGTGTGTGTGTGTTTGTGTGTGTGAGTGTGTGTGTGTGTATATTATATAGAAAGAAGTCACAACAGTTTCCTGAGAACAGCAAGTCATATGCATAAAGTCTGTGGATAACTTGAGCTTTCCTGGTGTATAGGAAGGGGTTGTAGAAGGTTGTTTTTCTCTGAAATGCTTGTTATATGTGGAAGTGGGAGAAAAAACTCCACGGTGAATAGTTTGGAGTCCTGGCTACCTCATAAAACATGGAATGAAAAATTGGTCTTGAAAATTAATGATAATGGTAATTATAACTAGGTATTGCATGTTTATTTTTAAAAAGTCTCATTGCTCTAAAATATGGAATGATCACCTATACTCCCCATCCAAAGAATTTGTTTTTGGAAATTCTTACTTATATTCTCCTCTCGCCTTCCTGCCATCTCTCTTCTCTCTTCCCCTTCCCATCCCTGGCAGGTTGATTCACCATAAATGGAAAAAGTCTTGCTTTAGATACAGTAGTTCCCTCCTTCCCTTTCTCTTCATTAAATCTTACATGTGCCATGTTGTCATCCCCATGGTTCTTATATCTGCTACAAAATAGCTAATCTAAAAAGTAACTTGTACCAATATTAATGTATTAGTCCTGTTTTGGTTATCTATGGCTACATATAAACAAAACAAAACACTAAAAATAGAAAAACAAAAAAGCCCCACAACAAAGTGACAGAGATATGACGTCATTTGCTTTACTAACAATTCTGTAATTTGGGAATACATGTAGACAGCTCATTTCTGCTATATTCAGCTAGAAGCAGCTCAAGTGGCTTGGAGGCTGGTAACCGGAAACCTCTGATGGCTTCACTTGCTTGTATATGTGGCTTTAATGCTGGCTGTCACTTGGAACTTCAACTTTGGTATGGCCAGAATACTTATATGTGAACTTCCAATGTGGCTACTTGGCTTCCTTGCATGGTGTCTGGGTTCCAAGGATGAGCACAAAGATAGGGAGATAGAGAAGGAGAGAGCATGCCAGGCAGAAGCTTTATTGTCTTTTTTTTTTTTTGAGATGAAGTCTTCCTCTGTGGCCCAGGCTGGAGTGCAGTGGCATGATCTCAGCTCACTGCAACCTCCGCCTGCTGGGTTCAAGAGATTCTCCTGCTTTAGCCTCCCGAGTAGCTGGGATTACAGGTACGTACAACCATGCCCAGCTAACTTTTTGTATTTTTAGTAGAGACAGAGTTTCACCATTTGGCCAGACTGGTCTCGAACTCCTGAACTCAGATGATCTGCCCGCCTCAGCCTCCCAAAGTGCTGGGATTACAGGCATAAGCCACATGCCTGGCCTGCTTTATTGTCTTTTAGGAACCAGTCATGAAAGTCATGTAGCATCTCTTCTGTTGTTTTCTCATTGTCAAGGCAGTCCAAACAGGCTACCTCAATTCAAGGAAAATGAAAATCTTGATAGGAAGTGGTAACGTTCTGGTGTGTGAAAGCAGAAATACTGCAGTGGCTATTTTTGGAAAATGCAGTCGGCCACATTTCTCAATGGTAGTATACAAATTTTAATGAGATAACA